GTCGCAAACCCGTTTAGACGCCGATACATTTCGCCGCGAGGCTGTTTCGACGAAAAGTCCACTTTAGCAGACGGCCTTATTGAAACTTTCAATAAGGCCAATTGAAATTTCACCTAAGTCCAGGAACACCTAAAAATAATTGAGGGACACTGAAGAAAATAACCTAAGAAACCCAAAAAACCTTAGAAATTTATGAAACCTAAGAAACCTAAAAAACCTAAGAAACCTAAAAAACGTAAGAAAAATAAGAAACCCAAAAAATCTAAAAAACCTAAGAAACCTAAAAACCTAAGAAAACCTTCCAAGTAACCCGGAAAATTAAGCGTGTCAATTCTTTTGCGGCGAAGTGTCCGCGACCAGACGTCTTGCGTCAAAAAGTCGCAAAGTTAAAATGTTTCAATGCAAATTGTCCCAAACCGAAGTGTCCCAGCGTCAGAATGTCCCGCGGCGAAATGTCTTCGCGGCGAAAAATCGGTGCGTCGAATTTAATTGCGGCGAAATGTCACACTCCCAAATGCCCGGGTGCGACTTCGGCACTAACTGATCATGTGGACTTTCCGGCCTGGCTATATGTATATGTTTGATATCTACCGCGGCATCCAGCCGCGTATAATAAGCAAACTAAAACACCTTAAAATTATGATTAACTATTGTACAAGCGGCATTCATTGCTAATCATACGGGATACGGCTTTTTCTCCGTAGAGAAAATGTAGTGCAAATGACAGCCTCTAATTAGGGCACAAAACAGTCGGCTTGACGCCCTTACCTTATGTACCGGCTTAATTGTGCTAAGGCTCATGCAGACTCATCCAGATCTTTTTGTTGGTTTCCTTGTAATTATTATTCATTATCCATTGTGCAGTCGACCGGTACACCGTATGTCTAATTTCAAGTAGGTAATTTGCGCTTAGACAAACTGAACCGCACATTGCTTACGGAAGACGATAGACTCTAGCATCCCGTACGGTGCGAGTTTTACACTTTCCATGCAAAATATATAACGCAGCAGAAAATCCCCACATTATTACCAGTTTGATGTAAACGGCCGTATTCTGAATTTCAGGACTTTATTACGGTTTGAGTACGTAATTATTTGATTTGCACGAGAACGCAATACGTATATATGCTGCTTAGGTTTATATTATACCCAACTTCCGGTTAGGGAAAAACGCGAGCCGATAATAACTGAATTTCAATACGAGTACACGAATCTGAAATTGTTTTACCAAGTATTGTATGAAAAGTCCCGTCCCGCCATGTTGCATTCCCTCAACACTACCCCACTATTACTCAACATATCCGCCTTCACCAACGCTACTTGCTGGACATGGTCCGCCTCACCGCTCTTCCGTCTGCAGATCCTGACGCAGATTCTCCCCAACTGGCTGATCCTCCTCGTCTCGCTCCTTAACCTGCGCGTCTTCGCTCTCTGGCGCCGCAAACCGCTGTTCCTGGTACACCACATCATCCTGTCGGCCGGGGAGCTGTCCCGCGGGATCATCGGGACCATCGGCCCCATCAATCGCCTCATCGACCCGACCCTCGCCAGCACCTGGCCCAACGCCATCACCCTGGCCGGTGGCGCGATGTTGACCACCTGGGTCAACGGGACCATCCTCCTCATCAGTCTGGACCGGTACGTACGTGTGGTCGGCAGTTAACGGGAATATATTAAACGACGGTCTTAAAGCATCTCAACTGGAATTGCTCACTCGGCGCTTCCATTGTAGAGCAAATGACTGTTCAGGTTGGAAAAGGATGGGCGGTCACGAAGCAGCTATGATTACGATTACCAGAATCGAGAAAGACCAGTTTACAGATAGTGTGGGCACTGTGGTATGGCGTACCAAGTGGGCCAGAGTTTATCCAGACAAATGCTAACGACAAATGCTTTTTCAACATTAAACAAATGCTACTGACAAATGCTTTTCCCTACCAGACAAATGCTTTTAGAAAAAACTTTAACAGACAAATGCTACTAACAAATGTTTTTTTCACTATCAAACAAATGGTTTCAGACCAATCCCACCAAACTACAGTGATCTCCAATAAATTCCCTGTAACTGGAAGAGTGGAATTGGAATTTTCAAATGTGAAAAAGTTTCGAAGTCCGCAATCAGATTTGCGGTGGTAGTGTAAAGCATTTGTCAGTAGCATTTGTTTGATAGTAAAAAAACATTTGTCAGTAGCATTTGTCTGTTAAAGTTTTTTCTAAAAGCATTTGTTTGATAGCGAAAAAAACGTTTGTCAGTAGCATTTGTCTGTTAAAGTTTTTTTCTAAAAGCATTTGTCTGGTAGTGAAAAGCATTTGTCAGTAGCATTTGTTTAATGTTGAAAAAGCAGTTGTCATTAGCATTTGTCTGGATAAACTCTGGCCCGTTTGGTACGCCATACTGTGGGGCCAAGATCGCAGGTCTAGTATATTAGAACGACGTCCCGTAAGAACGGAAGAAGAAACACAGCTACAGTATAATCAAGTTTAGAAACACGATCTGTACCTTCCGATAATGTACTATCTAGACTCATGCTACGCTCATGGCAAGCTAGTCAGAGCAGGTAGTGAGACATGGTGAACCGCTTAGACAACATTCATATGGTCAACATCCCTGTAGATCAGGCCAATTACTGTGCGACGAAAAAGTCGATGCTTCGTTTTAACGCATACTGCGCAAACAAGCGCTTCTCTATTCGATCCCAGCGCTGGCGATAAAATTTATTTTAATCAGTTTTATTTTTAATTTTTCAGCAGCGGACTAATTGGTCGATTTCCACTTTATTATTAGCATTATTACTGTATGCGCACTATACAGGTTTTCACATAAGGCGGCTGCGCTGGCCAGTGCCGTAACCCTGTATCATCGTTCGAAGATGTATGAGCCTCACATGGTTAGAAAAAATTTCCGAAACCCAGTTTATATATAACAGGTGGCTCTTTGTGGAGTTCCCGCGCTTCTACCGGCAGCACGCCACCAAACGCACCATAATCCTAAGTCACGTCATTCTCGACGGCGGGATCTTCCTCTTCTACACCACCTTCTACATCGTCCTGGGCCGCAGCACGCTCATGTTCCCGTGCAACCGTGAGGCCTACCTCAATCTATCTGATTATCCCTGGGCGACGGCGGTCTTCAATACCGGCTTCTTTGGCCTCCTGACTGCTTCCGGTCTACCGCAACTGCGCCTGATCTACACCGCTTTTCGGCTGAAATGGCACGGGACCCGCGGGCGGGTACACCCCGCGCGGGGGGAGGAACCGGCGTCCAGCGGCGCCGAACAACTGGCGGACATGGCCAAGAACGTTCTGGCCGGTGCCGCCGTGGTGACCGCCACGGTGGCGTGTCAGGTGATCGCGCGGGGCTTCTATTCTGCCTACATCCGGCAACTGGGTATGGGCTACGCACTGTACTTGCCGTATTTGTTCTTCAACTGGGTGAAGGACCTGCTGCCCTTCTTTTTCTACGTGGCCTTCTATCCAACGTTCCGCCGGTGTCTCCGGCGATGCTGGGTTCTAGGAACCCGGTGAATTATGGGGTTCCCGAATTATACTCAGCGCCGGATCACGGATAACGCCCCGACATACAGAAATGACGCCGGTATATGTCTGTGTACAATCCGTGATTGTACATAGACATATACCGGCGTCATTTCTGTATGTCGGGGCGTTATCCGCGGAAGAGACCAGAACCAGATGAATAAATGCCGTAACAATCGACCTTACCGACCTGACTCAACGACAGAATATGAGCAAATAAGCTCAGTTGTGGTATAGTTATGTACCTTCTCGTAAATCTACGCGAAAGCGAGAAGCTGCATCTCCAACTGATAAATTTATGATTTCTATACTCCGGGATTTCCACTGTCAGAATGCCCACGGTTGCCTTATAGCGTACATTGGTGACCTTTCAACCAATCCAAAAGTGATGAGGAGTTGCCGCTAAAAGCTGTTTAAGTGGGCCGAGACTGCCTTTTCAGAACATTTCTGGAGTAAACGTTTGCCAGCGGACTACTGGTCACTGTGAACTGTATCTCAGCAGTGACCTTTATCTCTACAATCCTAGTTTTTGCCCAGTATTAAGACACTGATCGATGATCTTTAAAGTTACCCTACAACAATAAAAACAAGTAGTCGCGACAGTGATGTTTTATTCTCTTGTCGCGTTAGTCGCCATAAAATCATTTGAATGGTTGTGCAAAACATGAAAACGACTTCAAACGAGAACGAACACACAACAGGTATTAGCAAACTGATATTTCCGTAGGAAAATGCGCGAGGATGCCTACTGGAGCGGTGTTGTTGGCGTGGGTAGAAGATTTCTGCAGCATTATTGCTGATACAATATGGTAGATGTAAAGGTCACTTTTGGGTGTTCCTTGTCCGCGACAGGCGGTTAGTCCCAGCGGCAGCAGAAGGTCAGCCAGACGGCACAGCAGAAATCATGCGCCCAGCGCCGACTGCGCTCCGCCGGCAGGGCCTCGTCGTCGGCCAACTGCCGTCCGGGGGCGGGGGCTAGGTAAGCGCCGTAGCGGACCAGCGGCTGCAGGGCGTTAGTGTCCTCCGGCTGGGCCTGGCTGTTGTGGATGGAGGCCAGCAGGACGACGGCGAGGAGTACGAGCACAGCACGGTTGTCCATAGTGCAGAATAATGTCGGATGTATCACAGAGACTTTATAAATACAACATTAAAAATACGGTTATGTAATGGCACTTTATGCTGTCAGTGAAGTTTTGAGTACGACGGTTTTCTGGTAGACTGAAACTGCAGTGGAGTGTTTAATTTAGATAAGTACTTATACAAATTTGTAGTTTAACCGTAATACGAAAATCAATGGAAAGCATACGTCACTACGGTAACAAACGGGATCAATATTATCAGGTCAAATTCGTACGCATACAAAAATTAACAAGTGCAACAGAATTATAGGGGAGGTATGGATTTACAGTACGTAAGTGCATCATTTCCTAATAATTTTGTTATCTTTCGGATTTCGTGAGGGTGTATTGTAGCTTTGTAGGTGCTGTACGAATACTAAGTATTAAAAAAAATTTGCGTAATAAAGATCAATAATATATGTGACAGATTACTTATTATACTCGTACTATTCAAAAAATAGTCGTATTAGGTGATTTTTGCTTACAATTTATGTCACATAAATTTTCAGTGTGTGATGTGCTTATGCCAAGTGTCGTGTCTCCTTTTATATTACAGCGCTAAACTGGGAATACACCTCGTCTTCCTTTTCACTTCTCATTCTCGTAAAGCTTCGACACGGATTATAAAGTTCATATGTGCACGCAAATCAAAAACACTAATAAAATAATTTTTCGGGGAATTTTGCACTTGATTTCATGATAATTCATAATTGTGGAGTGCATTTGGTTAAATCTCTGTTGGAAATTCATTAAGCGCGACAATAATTACTCGTACATTTAATGGAAAGAGACAGAAAAGTGTTGTTTGGAAAAGAATGCGACAAGCTTCGTCAGCAGTAAGCACACGTTAATTTTCCGTTTTTTTTCCACCCAAATTATTATTGTATTTTACTGTACCTACATCGTACTCGTATAAATGCTTATCCATCATTAAATCGTTTCATACAATGATTTTATGATAGATAAGCATTTTATGACAACTGGAAAGTTTTTAAATGATGGTACGTACCATCATTTAAAAAGTTAAGTACCAGTTGTCATAAGAAAGAAGTCGAAAAATCATAGAAATAAAACTTGATCCATCATTAAAAACGTTTTGAATCAGAATTGCCCACGTGCGCAAAGATGCCAGCAGCTCGCTACGCCAGCTAGCCAGCACTCTGGAGCACGACAACCCTGATTTATCCGACAGTGTACGCCGTCTGTCGGATCAGCCCGCCGCGTTGTCCTACGGCTCGGAATGTAAGCGCTTAATTCTACCCACATTTTTTTTCAGCATTCCCGGTTTTAACTGGCTTATGTTGACAGATGACAAACGCGACCCGGTGAAATCATTAGCCACACAAGTCAGCTCCATCAGCGGATTGGTCAAGAAAGCTTCAAGCGGCCGCGACAACGGTAAGCCTAATTAAACGATACAGTGTAAAATACGTTAAAGGTCACGCGGAGATGGCTGCGTATACAGATGTCCGCGATCTACAAGACACACTGCGCAACGCCAATGAGGCCATCTACAACGCCAAGGTCACTAACGATCAAAGGTCACGCTGTTCACACTGTCAATCTGTTTAAAAAATTTTCGTTTTTTTGCTTATTTTTTCTTGATTTTGCAGGTACAATAAGTTAAAAACGGAAGAGTCCCTGCGGAGCCGGGAACTGGATTCTCTCCAGCGGGACGCGGCGTCCTCGCAGCGGCCGTCGTCCACGGCGGTCTCCACGGCGCCCTCCCGCGACCGCGACCGCGACACCACCGCCACCACGGCGTCCAATAAACCGACAGCCGTTTCCGAGTTCGACGTAATAGTATTTAACCAAAATAAAATATACAAAAAAAATAGTTAATTAAACGGAGATAACTAATAAAAAATTAATTATTTTAACAGTTTACTAAATTTTTTTTGTTTAATAACTGAGTATTTAAAAACTAAAACTGAAATTTTGAAATTTGTTAATAAAAATACAATTTAATAAATAGCTGATTAAAATAATTTTTATTTAACAATTTAATAATTAATGAATTAAATTTAGAAATAAAATTTGTTACTTTTTTCCGAGCAGCGCTACTGCGCGGACCATGGCGGCCCGACGGGCGGTTGGGACGCCTACGATCACAACGAGTTCCTCTCGTTCCGCTTCCGCAACGGTCCCTTCGACGAGACGTTGGCCGAAAAGGCCGCGCTGCTCATACCGACACGGACACCGCAGGAAATCCTGCAGCACGAAGAATGGTACGACACCTTCGAGCTGCTGCAGGCCGCCCGCAAGGAGGCCGTCAACGACTGGCGCCGGGGGCGGGATGCGCAGCAGCGGCGGGCGGTGGAGGAGGCCGCGGCGCAGCAGAAAGCTCAACAAGCGCAGGACAACGAGGTCACTCGGCATGCTTTAATGCAGTCATTTTATTTATCAAATTTTGTTTGAGTTTTGTTAATTTACTTCTTATGTTGACCATATTTATTGTTATGACTTTATTTAGTAATATTATTTTTGTTATTCTCATTTATTTGATTTGTGCATTCTGATTTCTTATTATGTTTTATTACTGTGTTGTCGAGTCAACTTGGCACCTTTTCGTACAGTGAGTTATATGCTAATCGGATACGACTCACTGTACAACACAGTATTTGATTAGGTAAAGGATTTAAAATATCTCTGTTGATATTCTTTAATTCTCACAGCAATAATATTTTTAATCAGCAGCGGAAAATTAATTTAACATTTCTTCCGTTGGTTAAAGTTTAATAAATAATGCTTATACGACTACAACTTAATTTTTAAATTTTTTAAATATTGTGCATAATACGTTTGCGTTGTGTGCGTTTGTTCTGATTAGGCTCGAAAGGCCACTCTGGAAAAGCAGCGCGAAGTGGTTACCGCCCACAAAGAAGTGAAAACCAAGGAGACGATCGAGAAGAAAACGAAGGAAGCGCAAATGTCGCAGCAGCTCGAAGAAGCCGCCCGTAAGGTACACCCACTGATATCCTCTAGCTATTAACGCATAATCTGCACTGTCTTATCGGCAGAAATTCCTGGATCACCAGACGAAACTGAAGTCCCGACTGGACACGCACTACCGCCAGATTGACGATAAATTAGTGCAGATCCAACTGGAAGAGGAGAGGAAACTGCAGGAAGCCAAGGAGCGCCGGCATGCCGCCGCCAAACAGGTTCGCTTATTCACGACCATCGGCGAGCCGGCATTCGTGACCTTTACCGTTTTTAACGTTTTTTTACAATCAAAAAAAGTTCAAATATAGTTAACACAGCTATTAATACAGTAGTAGAAATAATTCAACTTAAATTTCTTCAGAATTTGGAATTTCCGTAAAGGTCACGACCCACGTTACCCTTTTAACTTATTGGTTGGTTTTATTTACACGCACTTGTTAAAATCACGCCCGATTATAATACAAAAAATAAGGATAATCTTTTTCTCAAACTGAAATAAATTTTGTTAAAAATTAATTTAATTTTATAAAAATAAAAAATTTAAATTTTAGCAAATAAAACTTTAAAAAACATTTAATTAAGCTGTGTTGTGTATCATATATAGATTTCCTTAAACAAAATTTTTTGAAGTTATGGTTCATATGTAATATGTAATAACCATATTTAATATGTAATATGTCTTTTCATATGTAATAACCATAAAAATGTCAAAATAATAAGAAAGATAATGGAGAAAATAATATTCTTTTGACCGCGCAGGTCCTGGAGATGGGCGCCCGCAGCGTCAACCAGGCGGAGGCCCAAGCCCAGCGGCGCCGGCAGTCGGAAGCCGACACGTTAGTGGCCAAAGCCCGCGCCATCCAGCATGCCGAGCAGCTGCGCCGGCGCGCCAGCCGCAACGTGGCCAGCGACCCGCAGCGCGTGACCCAACACACGGAGTCCTGGAACCGTCACCTGGACGGCGAGGGCGACGTCGGGGGAGGCGGCGGCCGCGACCCGCCCACCACCAGCTGGCGGGCCTCCGCCAGCATCTTCAACCTGCCCAAACTCAAACTCCCCGAATGGCGCCGCCATCTAGACCTGCATCTGTGACCTTAACCGGTGTCCGACGGCCAGGCGGGCATGGTGACGCAAAATACATTTTTGCTGATTTATAATTGGTTGAAATGCCGGTCTGTTTCCGAAAAACGACCGCCAAGAAAAATGCTGTGTATTTTTAATTTGTTTCGGATTTGTATTATGGTCAGTTATGGGAAAATGCGGCGCCGTATTTTTGGCCAGTAGAGTAGTTGCTATGGAACTTCCATTGCAAATTTGCTACTTTAATTAAAATTTGCAAATTATATCGAACATTAAAAAACGATGTATAAAGGATCATGTGATGTGTATATAATTGGATATGTTAATAAAAAATTGTAAAGTACATGTAGATGATGGAGAATAAATTATATTGATTTTTGAATATTCACCGGGGATTTGTCGCCGTTGTTTTTTATCATTACTGGTGACCTTTATGATTTCTCCGGCTTGAAGTAAATGGAATTTCAGTTATACTCGGAGGATGACGACGATGATTACCGCAAACGCCGGAAGATCGCCGCCAAGCCGGAAAAGAAACGGGACGCCAGTTCCTCGGAGGATGACGAGCGCCCGGGACCTTCACAGCCCGTCCACCGCCCCCGAAAAGTGGCCAAACTGCAGGTACGTCCCTTCTCCAATTTTATCAACATTTATAAATATTAATTAAAATTATAGAAACTGAAGAAACCCAGTCGCGCCAGGCAGCGGCGACTGCAGCGCCCCCCACCGGCGAAATCCCCGGCCACGCCCCCTCCCACCGCCAAACCCCGCCCAATAAAAATTAAAAAAGTTAAAACACCGCCACCCCCTGCGGAGTCACCCCCGCGGGCGGTGGTGCCCAAGAAACCCCGAAAGGTCACGAAGAAGGCTACCGTTAAAGCAGCCGCGGCGACGAAAGCGGCCGATCCGGCGGAGAGGAAGAAGGAGATCACCCGGCTGCAGAATCAGTTCCGGAATAATCTGCAGAACCTGCGCAGTCAGATTATCGCCGTGGAGAAGCAGAATGTCAAGTTGACGGCGGCGCTGCGGAAGCGCGACCCGTGTATCACGGAGAATCTGGAGGATATCCGGCGGCCGGCGTTCGTGCAGGGGAAGTATCCGCTGCGGATGTGCATCTGCGGGAAGTACGCGACGTCGTTTCGGGATGTTCCGGCGGAGCTGTTGGCCAAAGTGGTCGGGCATGTCGATGCGGTGTCGCGGCAGAAACTGCGCCGGTAATATTTAAATAATATTTGAATATATTCGTAATTACAATAATTATAAAATATCTAAATTTAATATGCCATTTTTTACAATTTGTTTTTCCGGGTTTGTTGTTGAAAATATAGCAAAATTAATCGGAGTAACAATAAGTTAGAAAACGGAATTTTTATACTGTCCAAGCGAAACGTATAATTCCTTAAACTTTTTTTGGAAAATTCATTATGCTAAACCACAATTTACAGTATTTTTCAATTTTGAAAGTATATGTTTTAACCTCGGCAAAACAAGCTTAGTATTTACAATAGTTTACCCAATCCAACTGCATAAAGTAATTAAAATTTTCTACGATGGGTTAATAAAATCCGAAGAAAACCGTTTTTCAATTTTTTAAGATTATAATAAATTTTTATAAAAATTCCTAAACATTTATTAATAGATATTTAAATTTTTAAATTATTTTTCGCGTTGGTTCGTGAAGTAATGCACATTTCGATAGGGTGTCCCGGTCGTTCAAAGAGGCGGTCGAGAGCCCGGAAGTAAAACGCTCCGTGACCTTTGCCACGCACTTCCACCTCTTCCCGCCCCCGGACGCCCACCCCGAGCACCGTCTGGACTTCCTGGACAACCTGTACGCCTTCTCCCTGTCGGCCGACACCCAGTCCCTCCTCCTGGACTGCCGCAACACCCCCCACCCGGACCCCGCCCTCCCCCTCAAACACCAGCTGACCCCGGCCGAGCGCCACTTCACCGCCTCCCACCACGACCTCCGCCAGCGCATGCTCCCGCTGTGCCCCAACCTCCGGCGGCTGGTGCTCTCCCACATCCGGGTGCTGTGGTCGGACCTCCTCTTACTCCCGTTGCACGTCGAGGAGGTGGGGCTGGTCAATGTGTTCCTGGTGGACGACACTCCGGAGATCTACCGGCCGGAGGTGTTCGAGAATACGGCGTTGATCCGGGAGGAGACGCTGGGGATTGTGGATCTGGAGGGGATGCAGGGGTTGCGGGAGGAGATGGAGCAGTTGATGAATGAGGCGCGGCGCGGCGAGGGCGTCAAGACCAAACACCGGGAGGCCATCCTGGCGGCTGTGCCGCGGCTGATCAAGATGCCGGAAGTGGTCAAGCTGGTCGGGAAACTGCTGGCGTTGTAAGTTTACCGGCCAGACTTTCGCAAAATTAAACAAATTAATAAAAAATAAATACATGAAACTGTTCAGAGTGAAAAACTAATACTTTTTCTTGTAATGCTTTTAAATAAATTACTTTAATTCATTAATATCATTTATTTTTAATTTATTACTGTTTACTATATGACTTTGTAATTATCAATACTTTTTAAAGCGAAAAAAAACAGCATAGCAATTGGTAAAATTAATATCAAAATAAATATTACCGTAAGTCATGAATAAAATATAAGAGAATTCGATTAAAAACATTAAGAAATAACACTTAAGAAAATTACTGTCATTTAAAAATTTCTTAATTACATACGTGGTTTACATAGGATAATTTGTTTTTCAAAAGCAACCGGAGTCACCGCACTGAGTGTTTATTAACTAGAGTAGAAGTCTAGAACAGCGTTAATAAAGTGATGAATTAATTATGGCTGATTTTGTGGCAATCAGGAATTTGTCGTTGATTGCAGAAAAGAATCAACACGGCCGCAGTGGTTCGGGAGGAAACTGGATTTAGCCGGCATCACGCCCAGCATGATCTACGACATCAACCCGTGCACACGGCGATGCTTGTACAAAATTGCCAATTATTTCTGTCCTGACAGATAACTTGCCGACTCGTGTTTCTTTATCATCTCTTTTCAATTATCTTGTTTTTCGTGCAGCCCGTGTAAATCGCGTGCAGCCCCTTCCCGCGATAATAAACAAATGCATAATAAAAAGGCACGCGCACATTTTCGAAAACTTTTACACGTACATTTTTAAATTAAAATTCACGCGTACCTTCTCAAATATCAGTAAAGCGTCACGCGTAAATGTTCGAAAAATGTTCGCGCATACTTACATTCGCGCATACATTTTACATGCAGGCACACATTTTCGAAAAAAATTCAAAAATTCACGCTTGCATCTTGGGAAAAAATGCATGCCCGCATTTTGGGAAAAAGTTCACGCTTGCATTTTGGGAAAAAATTCATGCCTGCATTTTGGGAAAAAACTCACGCTTGCATTTTGGGAAAAAATTCACGCTTACATTAAAATTCACGCTTGCATTTTGGGAAAAAATTCACGCTTACATTAAAATTCATGCTTGCATTTTGGGAAAAAATTCACGCTTGCATTTTGGGAAAAAATTCACGCTTGCATTTTCGGGAAAAAGTTTACGCCTGCATTTTGAGAAAAAATTCACGCTTGCATTTTGGGAAAAAATTCACGCTTACATTAAAAATTCACGCTTGCATTTTGGGAAAAAATTCACGCTTACATTAAAAATTCACGCTTGCATTTTCGGGGAAAAATTCACGCCTGCATTTTGGGAAAAAATTCACACCTGCATTTTGGGAAAAAATTCACGCTTGCATTTTGGGAAAAAATTCACGCTTGCATTTTGGGAAAAAGTTCACGCTTGCATTTGGGAAAAAATTCACGCTTCCATTTTGGGAAAAATTTCACGCTTGCATTTTGGGAAAAAATTCACGCTTACATTAAAATTTCACGGTTGCATTTTGGGAAAAAATTCGCGCTTGCTATTTGGGAAAAAATTCATTCTTACATTTTTTGGAAAAATCTCACAGTTCCAGTCACAAAAATATGGAAGAGTGTATTGCTATTTGCTGGCCTACAGTTGATGTATGAAGTTACATAATTATTGATTAACCCTCCAGCGGGCGGTGCCCGAAGGAGTGCGAGTTTCCTTTTGAAAATTGGGATTTCTCGACGAAAAAAATCAATTAAGAAGGGGAATTTTTTGTGAGCTTGTGCTGACCATAGGTCAGCGGTGCTGAGTCTGCTGACTATGTCGCCTTGCCAACGCCAATGCCCATGGACAATCTACAGCATAAAAATGTTTAATTTTGTATAATTAGGCGAACAGAAATTAAGCAGAAGCAATTAGTTCATTAAATAGTACAAAAAAAGTACTTTAAAACAGTAGTATAGAAGTTGTCAACACATTGACCACTGGTCAGCAAAAACTTAAAAACTACCAAAACTCGTTTCCATGTATTGTGACCACTACTACAGGTAAAGAAATATAAAAAAAACAGATGCTAGTAGCAATTCTGCTTCCTAAAACTTTTATTACAGTCTCATAAGTCATATGGTACTGTGTACAAATACCCTTTTTACAGTTTAGCATATTACACTGCTGCACGCCTAGTTGCCTGTATTGCGCGCAGTGGCACTTTTTCTGGATTTGGCCGCAGGTGCCATTATCGGAAAAGCGGGGGGATGGTCCAGCTGCATTGGAGATTGGCGCCGATTGGTACTGGTTTAGATATTGTTGGTCACTAGCACTTTTCGGAACGCACTAGCAACCGGATGTAACCCGGAAGAATGTGCTCATCACCAATGTGCACCTTACAGTTTGCAATCGCCAGAGGCTGGTCAAAGCTCAAAATTCCCATGTTTTCTAAAGCTACCCGGCTGCCTCGTCTTTGTTTGCCCAAGCGATACATCGCCAGCATAGGTATAAACGTGGCAGAACGCACAGTGTTGTGCTGTTTTTTGCTTTGTCCTAATTATACGCTGTTTGTTTGTTGTCCGGAGATTGACAACTTTTGATACAATTTTGCTTTTTCGCCGACCGCCCGGGGTGCTAGTCAGCGGTAGCGGTTTTAGCCAGCTTGCGACAGCCGGAATCGTGTGGCGCATGTTAGTGTGCAAACTGCAAACCGACAGCAATTTTGATCCGATTATGCAATAAAAAACAACTGTCGAAATTGCACCCGCCCTTGAATTCGTAACCCTTCATGGGCATTGGCGTTTAGGAGGCGACACAAGTTTTTGGCGGACTGTGGTCAGCTATGGTTCAGCTTATAGAATCCATATCAGGCATATTTGAATAAAGCGTTGTCAACTCTACCTTGTTGATTTATCTCCGGCTTATTTGTTCATCCGCTAATTAGTTAATTAGAGCGACCTACAGAAGTTAGAAAACCTCGAAATTAGCGATTTTCGCGAACCTATTGTTCTTAATTGACTTGAGACACAACTTCAAATTGTGTTTCTAACGCTGCTTTGAAGTCACCTGTTGCTTATTACATTAAGGGATAACGAATAAATGTTACCGATCGCTGGGGAAAAAATCCCAAACACCTTGTCGCCTCCTGAACGCCAATGCCCGTCAACGGGTTAACATTAAAATGAAAGTTAATCTACTTACTCACCTAAACTCTGTCTTGGCACCCAGTAAACTGGTGTTTTCTGGATTCTGGTAAACGTAATCACAGTTGCTTCGTGACCTCGCATCCTTTTGAAACCTGTTCAGTCAATTACTTCCTGGAAGCGCCGTATAAGCAAATCCAGTTGAAATGCTTCAAGAGCATCGCAACTTTTCATCGGGGTTTACAGTTTCTCCTACCCGTACGGTCGTTCGGTTGGCCACCTATAGTAAGTGAATGGGCGATGGTCGTTCAAAGTGGCCACCTTGAATTACAATCCCCATGAACCGTTTTTCTTCCGGTATTTTTCTTTACCCAGTTAAGAATAACGTACCCTTTACAGAGTACTTAAAATTTTTAAAATATCTTGAACCGTTTTCTTGCAAATGCGTCGTTAAAAAAACAGTGACGAAATACTTAAGCCACGCCACGTGAGCCACTGCACTACACCATGATTAGTGCAGTAACCCCCACGCATGTGCGGTTACGCATAGCATTTCAGATGCGTGTATAATTAATCTGATTGATTTTGCTATCTTTTGATTAACTGATTTTGAAGTGTGGGGTTCACAGCTAAGGGTGGGTTTGGCTGGGTTTGTTGTTGTCCATAGCAAAGGCGAAGAAACTGTTAGCGGTGAGGGAGAAGAGAAAAAAGCGACACCGAAGCCCAAAGCAAAGCGGTCCCCGTGAATATCGGCAATTTTTTGTGCTCACTAACCTGTGATTTTTTTTGTTTTACCTGCGTCTGCTAACCTGTAATTAATTTTCGTTTGTCGAGGTTTCTCACCGTTTCTGGATGGTTTTAATTTAGGGTTTTCTGATTTATTAGAATTCGTCAGTCGGACGCACTGGCGCAGTTCAACAAGTTTCAGCTACATTTATCTTGCTTGCACGATTTTACTACTTTCACTGTGCACATGTGTTATTTACACAGCGACAGCGCAGCCGCACAAGTTTGGCGGTGATTGCACTATTCATGGTGTAGTGCAGTGGCTCACGTGGCGTGGCTTAAGTGTTTCGTCACTGTTTTTTTAACGACGCATTTGCAAGAAAACGGTTCAAGATATTTTAAAAATTTTAAGTACTCTGTAAAGGGTACGTTATTCTTAACTGGGTAAAGAAAAATACCGGAAGAAAAACGGTTCATGGGGATTGTAATTCAAGGTGGCCACTTTGAACGACCATCGCCCATTCACTTACTATAGGTGGCCAACCGAACGACCGTACGGGGTACTATTCGACCGCCGATGCGCGCAATCTGCCCAATTCATGTTTCCATTTTTTTTTGAATGATTGTTTATTTTTTCTCTCACAGAGAATCAACCAACAGCGTGTACATGCCAACTGTGCATACCATTATCACAGATAACGAGAACGCCTTGAGCAGGAACGAAATTAAAAAAACACAACGAAACAACATTGACTAAAATCCGAAATCAACTGTATATTAAATTATAAAAAATTACAAAGGCCGCCCCACGGTTGGTGCTGATCAGAAGACGGGTATCTGGTCGCGCGGCGTGTTGAGCAGATCGTCGTCGAGCGTGAACATGGTCATGAAGGAGAAGAACATGCTCACCGCCGACACCATGTGCCACACGTCGTGCTGGTCGTAAAAGTCCAATAAAAAACACGTCTTGTTCACTTCCCGCGACAGCGACGGCGTCAGACGCCAATTGATCGGACCCTGTTGAAGAATAATTCGCAATTAATAATAACAATAATAATCCTTTCCCTAATAAAACGAAATCTGAAAATCAAAATCAGTAAATAAAATTCAATAAACTACAATGTGCAAGACAGGTTGCGATTAAAATTCCGGATTTTTTCGTATTCTTTCTTGGGTCGCCTTTTACGGCCGGTTGGCACTTCGCTACTTTTAAAACCCGAGAAATAAAATTAATTCCGCGGTGCCGCGAACGTATCTAAACGCATATCCGTCCTGTAAATTTATGTAGAAAATTTTCCCGAAATTTCACCCAAGATTTCCCGCATTTTCCAGTTTGAATATCTTTTATTTACGTCATTGATTTATTTTTTTGGTAATTTCTCCAGAAACTCAATCACGATCGGGTTTAATCTGTTTTAATATCTACGTCACCGAATAATTCTGATTTGTGTTAATCGGGATTGTAAATATTTTCAGGGAATTATTTTCCATTTATTAGTGCAACTTTTCAAGGGAGTCCGCTGCCAAAATACGCGCTGTTCCCCTTGAAGACACCGACCTGGAAGAACAAGTAGAGACTGCCGCCCCAGCCGAGCAGTGCGCCGAGGGCGAAGAGGATGGTCAGCCGGCTGATGCGTTCGCCGTGGAAGAGCTTCATGATGGAGTAGAAGAGCAGGTAGAGCATGAGATTGGCCAGGAAGCAGGCCAGCATGTAGGAGGCGAAGTCCATGGGCTGCCACAGGGGACCCATGATGGCCAGCGTCCAGTTGATGACGATGACCATCAGCAGCAGCACGAAGCGGTCCACATGGCCGGGCCGGGAGATGACGCCGTGCGTGCGCCAGTGCAGCCAGATCCGTCCGAACATCCCTGCAGCAAACCCGGCATAACTCGAATAACGATTAGAAAAGAGTTTTTCACAAGTCATCTGCCAAACTCATTTCAATCTATTTTATCCATTTTTTGCTTCAAAGATGTGCAAGATTTTCCATTTGCTAGATTTTTACTTAAACGACTGGCAAAAAATCTCAAAACTATTTTGCATCCATTTTTTTACGGCTGTCACTTGTGTGGCAGGAATAATTTTTATCCATTTTTTACTCAAGTCATTGCCAGATTTTTGTCTATTTTTTTACTCAAATAATTTGCAAAATGATTTTGTATCCATCTTTCTACGGCAGTAAGTTATTTTACAAAATTTATTTTTACCCTTTTTCACATAATCTACAAAATAATTTTTACCTATTCGTTTAATTATTTTTCACTCATTGTAATATTACAAAAAATTCAGGAGAAATAGGAAATGTGATATGGCTAAAAATTAAAAATTATTAACTACAGAAATAAAAATTTTCTGTTGCAAACTGCCCAAAAAACAGCCAAAAATTTCAGAAAAACTTCAAAGAGAAGCCTTTAGAAATTCACCGTCCGACACCTAACCATTTAATTCTCTAAATAGCAAAAAGCGGAAAAACGAAATCCCAATACTCGTACATTGTAATGAGCGATAATCAAATTCTTGTTACAAAAAAACTCAAAAAAAAGTTCAAAAAATAAAAACAAATACTTTTTAAAAAAAAAAACAGAAAAATTCCCCCGCTCTTACCGCAATCCAGTTTCCACCGGCCGATAAAGTAGATCTGCGCGCTGAGCATACAGGAGACAATAATCAGCGCCACGGAGAAGGTAATCCACACATAAATACTAGCGTACACCACGCCCAGCATGGCCACCAGGATGATGAAGGCGAAGAAGGCGTAGGCCATGTAGGCGTTGGGCAGGACGTCGGCGTGCCGGTTCTGGTAGATCTTCAGCATGCCCAGGCCGGCGATCAAGTACATGAAGGAGGTGTCGAACTGGAAGTTGCTGTAGCTGGGGCAGATGTGGTAGCTGGCCGACATCAGGCCCTCCATCATCAACGCCAACCCCGTGGCGTAGTATAACTCGAACTGCGCCGGGACGCCGTTCTCCACGTCCCCCTTGGCCGGGGGATTGGCGTGACGCGCTGCGGAACGCTGACGCTGCCGACGGCGCACCAGGAGGATAAACAAGATGCCTAACCGTACAATAATGCTTAGAAGAAATCGCGGAAAAAAATTACAAAAAACTGACAGACAGAACCAAAAATTGTCCAGCAATTATTAAAAAAAAATTTAATAAATCCTTCAATTACAATTTTTTTGAAAAAAAACTTAAGTAAATCCGAAAGTGAATTTTAGAAGATTAAAATAAGAAAATAAAGGAATGATATCTGGAGGAATATCAATACTGCCTGTTTAAAATGCACGAAAAAAATCATGGAAAAAAGCGAAATAAAACCAAGTCAAAAAAAATATCAGAATTTAAAAACAGAGGATTATTAAAAGAGTATTCCTTAAAAGATCTCGACAATAAAAATTAGTTTCTACAAGTCTACTGAATTAATAAACAACCTCATGGAAACACAGCCGAAGTTCCTAACAGCATTCATCAAAAATAAGAAAGCACCAAAACAAAACAAAAAGCAGAAAAAAAAATCGTTTAACTAAATCAGGCAAGGTTGGCTGAATTCCAGAAAAATCAACGGAAAAGCTTCCTGAAACCAGGGAACGTAATGCAAAATTAAACAGAGACATTTGAAAAATCAAGGAACAGGAGGAAATATGTTAAAAAAGTATTTAACACCGAAGAAAGAAGCTTCGTAAAATGTGGAAAATTCTGAAAATAATGCACACTGCTCACCGAGGAGCACGTAGCCCAGGTTGCTGATGACGTGGTTGAAGTCGACGACCATGCCGACGGGATTGGAGCAGGCGAAGTTGTAGTAGCAGAGGTCCTCGTTGCCGGTGTCGTGCAGCGCCCGCTGCGACGTGACCACCAGTTGCGCCACGGGCAGCCCGTAGAAGATGCAGATGGTGATCATGGACCAGCGGTACTGTCGGTCCTTCTTCGACAGCCGCTTCCGCGTCTTCCGCGTCAGATCCCCCACACACAGCTGGCCTGCGCGTTCAGGGAAACACATTATCACCCGCTCCATATTTTCATTCACAATGTAATCGGAATACTAATTTAAATTTAATTTTAAGTAAAAATTTAATTCAAAATTTAAATTAATTCACCATTAAAACGCGATGATTTTCTTACGAAAAAATTATTTTTACACAATATCAGCATTAATTAGATTTTTACATAAATCATTGTTTCAATTATGAATTAACTGATAAGGAAATTCATTGATAAATGGAAATGGGTAGATGTAAAGGTTGTGCACCTTTGGAACGGATAATATTCTTATCGTCCTCCACTTCCTGGACGAAATCCACGTCCAGCGACTCCAGGGAGGAGTCCGAGGCGCGTCGGATCACCTCCGAGTCGTCATCATTCCCGACGGCCTCGTCGCGACTGCCGCCCGGCTGCTCTTCCACCGTGGCGTCATCATGCCCGCTTTTACCGCGCAGCGCCGGCTCCGCGCCTTCCGGCCGCGGAATCGGCTCCCCCTCCACGTCCTTCTCCAGCTACACATTCATTTCACACTTGAATCATGAGTAAATCACTGCATTTTTATTAGGAACATACTGTAACCACAATTCCCAATGAAATAACCAAACCTCGACCTTTATTAAAAAATTAATTTACCTCAATTTTAAAAAATCCAACATACACCAGCACCGTGAAATATATGTACCGAATGGTTTAAAAAGGCCACCGAAAATCTAGAGTTTTTCCCCGCAGATTAAATCACAACAACTTTTTAAGTACACATTTTATTCAAGAAACCACAATTAATAAAAAATTATAAAAAAAAATGATTAAAATCTAACTCGATACAAACAGAAAAACGGTTACAAAAGGACATGAAAATCAGGAAGAAGAAGATTCAATCACGATAATTCATTAAATTAAAAAAAGGAAATGAAAATCAGGATTTTTTAAAAGAATAAATCACAATAATTTGGTATGAATAAATCTATTTTTAAAGAAAAATTCCCAAAGCAACCTTCGAAGCGTACTAAACAATAACTTGACATAAATAAAAAAAATCCAAGAAAATACTCAGGTCACTTTGAAGATTTACCGAATGGTTAAAAAAAAGGAAATAAAAATCGATATTTTTTTCCGAGATTAAATTACGATAATTTTACACGTCTAAATTTCCACAAGCCCTTAGCCAACCTTGAAAATACATAAAAAAAATACCCCCAAATGTACATAATACATACATAAAAAATAATAAAAAAACATAAACAATACATAAAAACAATATAAAAAATGCCAACAAATACATAAAAAAATACCTCGTTCAAGACTTTACTGCCGCCCGTGGCGGGCGAGCGTGTACAGCGCCCGTGGAGGATGTTGCCGGCCAGCAGGCCGCACGTGATGACGTAGAAGCCCAGGAAGAAGCCGACCATGGCGAAGATGGCTAGAAGGTATCCGCGCGTGTCCAGCGTGGGGATGATGAGCAGCTCCACCTGCTTGACGCGGTCGTAGTAGGCGCTGCTGCTGTTGATGGTCGGCTGGATGTCCTCCATGGCGTGACAGAAGAAGTCCACCGGCTTCACCGTGATCACCACGTAGAAGCGCGAATACTGCGAGCGGGTGACGACGATGGCGCCCTTCGATGTCACCGTCTGATAAATTCCTATCAATAACATCTTTTCTTTGTAGGCCGCAATTTTTTGGAATTTTTACACATTTGAGAATTTTTATTTTTTATTTAGTCTGACTTTGGAGTTGAATAAATTCGTTAGAAAAATGTTCTGTACGAGTAAACTCATTCTCTGCGCCGCAGTTTCCATTTTTACCCAGCCTGCCGAAACTAATGAGTATTATCGTACTTTTCAACTAATGTTTTACGCTAATTCTTGGCATTAAAGTTTTCGTTATCTAGAATTTACATATGATCGGGAATTTAATTCTTGATATTAATTTCGAATAAAAACTCGTTCTTTTGAAAACAGCAAAAAACTTTATAAAACAGCAACAACTAAATTTACTAATGTTTATTCGGCAACATCCAATTCAGACAAACAATGAGCTTGCGTAGGTAGAAACTACTTAAAATGGTTCAAAATTCAAACAACAAAAAGGTTAATCGAATGCGCCTTTCTAGTACTTGTATGATTAACAAAATGCAAGCTTTTATCCAAGACAAGGGGGACCCGTACAAAGCCATCGTACTACAGTATTTCCTGGTTTGGAGAGAGCGTCACACACGTATGATAAACTGGAGAAGACATTTTGCACAAAAAGCGGTTAACATTTCCCAAGTTAATCCTTATTAAATACTAATACCTAATTTCCAGAAAACCCTTTTACAATTTAACAACTAAATTTTTGTTATCAATTTCGCAGAAAAATAAAACAAATTTATATTGTAATCTATAGCATAATCTCGCACAAAACTGATCAGTTGCAATTTTACAATTTGATTTTTTCAATTTTAATACATAAAAACGACGAAAAAAATTAATTCCAAAAGATTTATTTCATAAAAAAATATCAGATATCATTCATTCCAGAATTTATTTCCATCGAATAAATTCGCAGAAAAAATTCAGAATTTTATTCCGGAAATTCATTTCGTAGAAAAAATTAACTGCAATTTTGGAGATAAGAAAGTGTAAAATCTGTATCAGTAAAAAACGTTCACGAAAAATTGTTTAAAAATTCGGTAATTATTTTGCACCTTCGATCCTTAGCTCCGATTCCAAATCGGCCACGGGACATTGCACCGGTTGTACGGAGAAGTACGAGCAGTACTTTTGCGGCTCCAACGCCCGCATCTGCACCAGCACGCGGTCGATCCCCTCGGGCATGAGGTACTCCACGTACTGCGGCATGGAGGGCGTCACGTTGAGGTACAGCGGCTGCGTGCGGTTGATGAAGAAGTCGCGCACGGGGGAGGCGGTCAGCGTGTACTGGGTGCTGTTCATCGACGCCGAGGAGATCTCCATGTAGATGTTCTGCTGCACCGTCGCGTTACTCAGACTGCTGTTGGCGTCCTCGGCCCGGTAGTTGATGGTCGGGCACAGTGTCCGTCCGGTGTGCCAGTACGGGTAGATGCGCTCGGCCAGCAGCGGGATCTGCCAGCTTAAAACACCTACAGAGAATGTAGCCGTCAATTCCCTGTACGAGAGTGCATGCAACGACTATTGGCTAACAGGGAAACGAAGCAGTTCGACACAGCATCTATAAAAGAAAATGGACTGAATCTACGAAACAACTTTTAATGCTTTTTTTAGGCCACTAGCCTATTTTGCAATGTATTATTTTTAAGGTAATAACTTTTTCTGATCCCTTGTAAACAAAAAAGGTAAGCAGACATTACAGAAACCAAAAAGTGAACTGTCGGACAGAGCGTCCGCCCGGTGCGCCAGTATGGTTAATTTCGCTCGGTTAGCCCTTGAAATTTGCCAATTTAAAAACGCCTGAAGAGTGCGTACTACTGAATTCCCTGTACCATCATTTAGGCAATGCCTATGGACTAACAGGGAAATCAACCAGCTCGTTGAGTCACATAACTGCTTCGAGGTATGAAAATGAGAACATAAACAGTGTATACTGTAATAATTCTGCACAACAATAATTCCTGCCTTTCTTCTGATTACTAGCGCTATTCTGCAATTTACTATCCATAAGCTAATTTATTCTGACGCACATGATAGTAAAAAACGTCAAAACAAGTTAGAAATCGAGTACCAAAAAAGTTCCTGTTAAATTGAGGAAAAAAAGCTACGCTTCTTGTTAGTATCTGTACTTCTCTACGCGAACTCCCTGCACAGAACAGCGAACTCAACGCCAAGTGCCATACCTAGCTGCTGCTTGATGACGACAAGAAGGGGATACTTTTCCACAGCATTCCTGCTCGACACCAGCACCCGAATCGCGTCCGTCTCATTCTCCAGGCGCGTGTAGTTAAAATGGTAAATATCCGTGGCATCGGCGTTCACCTGTCCGGAGTATTCCTGCCCGAAATTCCCGTCTATCTCCTTAGTGTTCTGCGCGAGACGCGACAGCGCACTCGACGCGGTTGCAGCGACAGAAAGCAGCCACGATACCAGGAAGAAATAATACACCACCACACTCAAACAGATCAAATATTTCTTCATGACGCAAACGGTTAGGGGAAGACACGATTAACGACTCCGCAAGGATTTTTCCGAGATCATTGTGGAGAAAAATGAATTATCTAACGATAAAAGGCATAGCTTATCATCTTATGCGACACAGCGACACCAAATCAACCACAGTATTTTGGCATCAAAGATCACAGATTCAGTGTTATGACTAACAACCACTTCCATCAAATTATGGAAGACTTCTCCATCTTATCGCTATCTCTGACGTTGTGTGATAACATTGTGCGCTGTACGATTGAATACTGGCAGGCAAGTTCAAGGCTACCACGACTCAAAAGAGACTAGAAAATCAGGAAAATGAAAATCCAGAAGTCAGAAGTGAGAAGTGGTGTTTCCAGTATAAGCTATAAAGAACACTGCCAGCCAGTGCGGGCCGGCAGCTACGTGCCAGTTATTTTGAGAAGGCGGTCCGAACTTCCGGTGGCTTCTCTGGGATTCAAGCAGTTGCAGGCCGCTCTTGAAATGATTTGAAATAAAATTTGAAATCGAAAAAATGAAATTGTAAAACTAATTTCCTGGCCAAGTTCTCTCTTATCGGAGAAATACATTAAACGACAATCATTAATATTTTAATAGAACAAAAGCTATATATTGATATTCTGCCTTGAATTAATGGACATATTCCACTGAAATTTTGTTAATTCGGCGTAATTCGATCCAATTTTTCCATCCAAAATTCAGTTGGTGAGATTCTTCTTGAGAGTAACTACGACAGCGCTTGTCGATAGAAATTCAACGGGGTAACGCACGTCAGTGCTGGGCACTACGGCCGCGGAAGGCCTAGATAAATTGCATGAGATTTTCTTGTTATACTCGTAGTTTGCCCGTTTCTTTCCTTATTTTGCCACTAAGCACCTCACCGAGAAGGCGCACGCGCTGGGCCTTGACTAGCTGCAAATCAGGATTTCGTCGCTGCTTTTCAAATGCAGCGACGGCTTGGTGCCCCACGAACCTCCGTTACATATGCGCCGTCAACGCACACTTCCCGGCGGACACGGAGGACATGCTAGCAAAGGTCACGGCTGTGCATGCTCGCTGGGTGCGCAGTCTTAGATATCCAGATAAGGGGTAGACCAGTCGCCGTTATATTCCAGTGCATGTATGCTGACTAGAGCAGTGCATCCATTTTCTGGCAGTCAGAATTTCGTTTCTTGACACTTCTCCTTTTGTATTCGTGTTTAAAAAGTTGGCTATTATGTGTACAATATCTGTAGTAGGTGAAAACTAAATACATATGCAGACAGTTTTACAGTAAGCCTTACGTTTCACATGTACCGTATGCGGTATACCTTAACGGCTTAACTTACCCTACTGCAAAGTACTTCGTACATGTACCATTCTTTAAAGGGCAGTTTGGTAATAATTGTTGTACGGCTTCTTCATTTACGGCGACGCGAGCCGCATAACCTTTCGGTCTTCGAATTCCATTAGGTGAAGTGTTGAATAACATACAAAGTATTAAAATCACTTGAATTCATCATGTCACCAGTTAATTCGTGATTGTAGCCTATAAATCATGAAAAGAAAAACTTGATAAGTATTTTTCATCAGGAATTGTTTCAAGTGCCCACACTACCACCGGTGTCGAGATTTACCATGCACTTATTGTGTATTGTGCAGTATAACCTTTACCTTAAGCAAATGCTTAAACAAACGTGGTCACACCGTTAACAGTTACCCTTTTAGCAGTTCAGTTGATCAAGCCAACTATGCATCCGAAACTTGACCACAGTCCACAAGGTACTGCATACGTTTTACGTTATCTGCATTCTGTGAATCTGTACATGTACAGACTTTAGTGTGGAAATTCAGGTTGTTATCACATCGCATACAAACAGAATTTGGTACTACGTATTACATACAAGTACTGCATCGACGCGCTACGGTTGTGCCACATCATGAACGACGTACTGTAGCTGACAAAACTTGCATTGTGCTTTGTACATTACGATGTGCGAGTTTTTAAAATTAATGCTGGCTCGCATTCCGTGTGGTAAACTGAGATGGGGTACGTCCTCAATTACATTTCGATAGCGGCGGGAATGCAATGTGTACACTGTCTTTTATTGGAATGAAAAATAAAGGAGCATAATGTTCCTGTTCAACGAAGCTTGGCGATTTTACATAATTTTGGTAACAAGGTGATATACGAGTATTCAGCTCAAGCGGTTTATTCTCCTAATACCTTTCAATTTTCTGTCCTCGTCTTCTTAGCAGTTTCTGTTCCATCTTCTGTATTCTTTAACTACGGCCTTTTAGATAAGTGCATTTTAGTTTTTCTGTAGAAGTGTTTCGTTTTCCTATCAAGTAAGTACATTTTAATAATGATACTAAAGAGGAAAGCAGTTGAATGTTGTCAAAGCGCTTCAACATGTTGTGTCTAACTGTTCTGACCAGCTTGGCACGAGCGTAGCTTCACCGTGTACATTTAGCGGAAGGCCAAGCCGCCAAGGTATGTCTACATCTGATTTTGTTTTGGTTCCTCTCCACTTCGGACACGACGTTATTAATTACTTACATTAGGCCTGCAATCTGGCCCAGAGTTCTAGGTTCCTGGTTCTGGTGATAGAAATCACAGCTGATTTCGCGACATTGCAGTCTTTTTGCTGTATAGCCTTGCTCCCTCGAAGAGCTGGAAAAGCAGTTCGGGTCACGATGCTCTAATAGCATCGTTTATGTCTTTTTTGTTGAAGATCGCAGGATTTTGCTGCGGATACTAAAGGCCGCGTCACCATACTGTCCAGCACCGCTACCACGGCACATTATGCACTACGGCACATTATACACTGTAGTGTAATGCCTTGCCGATACTGTTAATGACGTCTTAGAAACGGTCGACCGGTGTCGCCGGTCACGCAGGGAGACTGTTACGAATTTTAAGCACCACAACGAACCGCGGCGCCGGAGAAACCCTAATGCCAGTACCGGAAAGTCGAGTTCCCGGGGCCGCTGTCTAAAAAATGTATGGTGAACATGGGAAAGTAAATCAGATGAAAAGAAGGTTTTTGCTGCATTTGATCGCATAACGTGCAAGAAAATGATCCGATGGTCTGAGCCTAACCAACGGTAAGGTCACCCGCGTACAAAAGCACGTATGCGTGTATGCAGATGAGGCGCAGAGCGACTGAAGCGTACCCTTGAAAACTCCGCCTTATCGATGTAAACATACGGTAGCCGCCCAGGTAGATTGCAACCCTGGCCATAGCGGCATTGTCTTCTCCCTGTTGGGCATTGTGCACGCTGCGCTGAACAGCGAGCAACGTAGGTGCAGATATCCCGGTACATCTCACTTTGTGGTGCAGATTGTGCAGGCAGCTACAGTATTTTTTGCGCGTTTGACGAGTGTTATGAAAGCCCCAGGAAGTGGAAGACATGGGACTTGCCTTTTTTGTAACGTGTCTTTGTCCACGCTGCTAGATGTTTTCCGCAATAATGACCTTAACAAAGCCCGCCTTCTTGCTCAGTCTAAATCGGAAGCTGGCATCTGATTAAACGCATTGCCATCCGCTCATATTGGCAACCTCGTGGACGATGACACTCTTAAAATCTCAGTTGGCCTGAGATTGGGAGTGGCGATATGTAAACCCCACGAATGTTTGAAGTGTCATAAGCACGTTGATAAGTACGGACAGCACGGCCTTTTATGCGCATTTTCCGCAGGTAGACACCCGCGACATGGCGAACTGAACATCATCGTGTGCCGATCTTTAGTGTCAGCTGGAATCCCTGCGAAGTTAGAGCCCCGCGGAACGTCACATACTTCCGAACGACGCCCTGACGGCTGCACAACCTTTGCCTGGCAGAGGGATGGGTTTAACATGGGATGTCACTTGTGTGGATACTGTTGCACCATCCCTCATTAAATCTACGGCGGCAAACGCAGGCGCAGCTGCGTTGGAAGCGGAAGAAAAAAAGGCGCAGCTGTATGCGTATTTGTTCGGCAGGTATATCTTTGCTCCGATAGCTTTTGAAACAATGGGCCCTTGGGGTCCGGCCGCCATCGCCATTATCAAAGAACTGGGCAAACGACTAGAACAGCGTACAGGGGAGGAGCGTTCCCATGAATTTCTTCGTCAAAGATTGTCGTTGGCGATACAGCGGGGGAACGCGGCCTCAGTTTTTGGAACAATGGAAGGAGCAGAAAAGTTAAACGAAGTTTTAATGTTGTAAAATTGTGATGTTTTTTGATTATGTAATAATACGATGTAACACAGGTGAATAAAGAGAGGAAATGGAACCACATTATTGTCCTATGGTAGGTTGTAGTTCGCTTGGTGAGGTCAAACCGTCAAGTAGCGACTCGATCAGGTGGCACCACAGAGTTTGTGCACGGGCAATCAGCACTTGCAAAGTATGCACTGCTCGTGCTTGCGAGCGCACAGGCATGCACACGTTGCATGTGTGCTGTTTGCCGGTACACAAACTCTGTGGTGCCACTTGATCCAACCGCTACAGTACATATATACAATTTGGGCGACCGGCTTCTGAAGACTCCACAATTTGGAGTAAATTTACAATCATTTAATGACTGTTTAAATAATTAAGCCGTTTAAGTGAAACACCCGAAATAACATTTTCCACAAAACGATTTTCGTTTGGATTTTTTTCTCATACGATTAAACAAGATGTACCCTTTACAGAGTACTTGAAATTTTTAAAAAAGCTTGAACCGTTTTCTTGCAAATGTCTCGTAAAGAAATCAGTGACGAAAGCGTTTTAGCCACGCCACGACTGCCACTGCACTACGCTCAAATATTTGCAATCACCGCCATACCAGGGTGGCTGTACCATCACCGCATTTGCGGCTGTTAATTCAATTCAGGTAAATTTATGTTCAACGGAATTTTTTTTTCGTTCTTTGAAGCTGGTATCTTCAAACTAAATTTATTTTGGTTTAAATAAACTTCTTACACGGCGATGGTAAGCGTCTCGGTTACCGTGTGCGGTGGAGAGAAAGTGAAACCCTCAACATACGGCGCCTAAAAGATGATGGACTCCTGACAACGCAACACCATTGCTTCATTTTCCACTTCTCAATTTCCACCAGCTTTTGCCCCTTCTCCCGTACTAGATCATCTACCGAAAGGTCATCGAGGTTGGACACCGGCAGACGACAGCGCGTGTTCCGTCTCAATCCACCAGTATTGCCTGCCTGGAGACACCGCCTTGTACCGACGAAGACGTCTTTGCGCTGTGGATTACAGGTAAGAGGCGTTTAAAGGCGAATCTGGATTTAAGTTTTATAAGGCCAGCTCCAGTATGTAATGTCATTAGTCTGCAGTATGCGTTTCTGTTAAAGGATATGATTCTGTGTATGTTGCAAAGTTCCTTAAAATTCGGTAAACCTTTTGACCTTTGTACACTCCCGCCATACGCCATCTTGTCGTAATCTGAGGAAGATCGGTTTATAATGTGATCTTTGGTACATTGGTTGGCGTTCATAGTAAGCTGCGAAGTTGAATCTTATTTCTATCTTTACTTTATGTACTTAACTTAAAGAAAATTAATTGTCATATTAATAATGAATGCCCATCAGCGCAGACATACGATATGTGTACTGGCTAACTACCGAATAAAGTTGCCAGTGCCTACAAGACTAGTTCAACATTTCCGTACTTATGTTATGTTATGTTTAGGTCATACAACACGATGGCTACCCACCAAGAGAAAGTCAAGCGAGCATTGGAGCTGCACAACCAGATGTGGCTGGCACTTATGCATCTCTGCGGCTACTACCTCAGTCCCCTGTCCTTCATGCCGACACGTGGTCGGCGACTGTATTACGTAATTTTTGCCGTTCTGTGCGCCTTCTTCATAACGCAGTGGATATGTACATTTTCACTGTACCCGCTGATCAACGTGAGCGGCTATAGCAGCATGTCCAGCAAGCTGCTCGTAGCTCCTAAATATCTCGTACCCCTCGGGCAGACACTGGCCGTAATTCAGATGTGGCGTTCCCGCCGCCAACTGGATGCCCTGGGACGGGACTTGGCCGCTATCCTGTCCAGCCACTTGACGCTGGTATGCCTGTGCATTATCCTGACCGTGGAAGTCACCCTGCTGGCCTTTAACCCACTATCCCTCATGCTGATCAGCGTGCATAACTTACCATACAGCGTATCCACGCCGCTGGCCACACTGACCGAGCGCTATTTCAATCACACCCTGCCCATGTCCTCCTCGGCCGTGTGGACTGCCATCTTCTCCTTTCGAGCCGTTGCTATCGATGTGCAGCGGATGGGCTTTGCCATCGTCCAGTGTTACGTGACGATCTACACCTTCATATTCGGACTGGGTTTCTGCGGACTGGCTCGCTCGTTTGCTGAAGCCCGGACCGACCAGGAGCGTATCGATCTCTTACCCGTTCATCGGACCCTCACGTCCCTGGTCCGGTAGTTCAACGAATGCTTCAGCTGGACAGCCGCTGCCCTCTTTCTCGATAGTTTCTTTGATATTATGGTGTTTGCCAGTGAGCTGTTTAAATCGACGGCGGCCAATGTCCTGCCGGATTGGTACGCCATACTAGGCATTAACTGTATTAACTAGGCATATTACTAGGCATTAACTGTGTACTAGGCATTAACTGTGTGTAACTCGTACTTATTGTGCTTACCGCGCAGTTGGGGGGAATCATGTTGGCCGTCGACGGGGTACGTTGTCGCTGTGTGTCTTACGTTCATTTTCACCGCAGTCTGTTGTTACTTGTGGTTTTCGTCGGTTTTGCAAATAGCGTACATAGAATGTATTTGTACAGGAAGATGATCTCCTCCGTAATATGTACGAACTATCCAGTAACCTCGATGCCGCTGGCAACCCTAATCATCAACTGCGAGTGCATATCGAGCGTTACGATCGACTGCGGGAGAAGCCAACTCTGGCCGGTATGAAGCTCGAACGCGTGGCCGTTGTGACGGTAAGAAAATGTCATACTTTCTAATAAATGTATAGCTAAAAAAAGCAGTGGATGTTTCGCGTTATAGTATAGATAAAAAAATAAATGTGTAGCTGAAAAAGAAGTTGATGTTGGCGCATGTCGTGCTTGCGCACGACAAGCGCCAATGGACCATGAGTAAATCGTTAAGCGTAAATCGTTTCTATAGCAAAATATGAAGAAGCGCGCAAACGTTCGCAACCGGTTTTTGTAGCCCGCATATAAAGCGTGCATGTGGTATTGTACAATACACGTACAGTATATAGATATTGTAGTTGTAGACTGTGCATGTTATACGATTACGTACTACGTACAAGTTACACACATGTGTAACAATTCAGTTAATTTTACGACGATAGCCTTATTCAGCGAATACCCGTCATTTAACTGGTATGTGTGACTGCGTGGGTTCGTGTTATGTCATTGAAAATGGTCTCCCATAATTATTGTCCCTAACTGTGCAGTAATGCTCATAGACTGTGTAATGAAGGTTGTTTTGTGTTCTGTATAGATTATTACCGGCATATCCAGCTACGTTTTGCTCCTCTCGGAGTTGGATGCAAAATGCCCGCCGCTCGTATGCGCCAACCACACTATGGTCACTACCTGATCAGCGTCATACAGACAGAGACACTTAATGTGTTGGCTGCAAATTGTGTTGATCTGTACATGTGTTTCTTTCTGTAAATTGCGTTGTTTTGTAGAGATTTAATGAGTACTGTAATCTATATTGATTACTGCACAAGTACAACAGCGCACACAATTACATTTCGGTACCACATGTTTTTGCGCGCGGTTGCATGTATATGATTTGTCTGTTGCCAAATTATATTGTCCTCTAAAATTCGTTCAACTTTACAGTTTTTTTGTATAATGTATATTTTTTGTATAATGTATATTTTTTGTATAATGTATATTGGTTTTCTCGATCTCATGGCAAATATCTATTGAGACTGACTGCATGGCATCGTTAATACGTAGTTTATGTAAGGTACGAGCACTGGCGGTAAGGACTAGGGAGGACCATGACAAGTCACCATTGGCAATATTGTGTCGAGCCAAAGCAACGAGGAAGAAACTGAAAACTTGGAAACAACTCCGCAATTAGATGTACACAACGCGAATAAACTTTATAAGAGTATGCGCAGTATCTGGAAGCCATGTCTTTTTCTATGGTCTTTGAAATCGTGCATGGAAAGCGGCATGACTATCCAGTGGCTGCGCCTGCACAGACAAGATCTACAGATAAACGGAACTCTGGTTCCGGTTAACAGCGTAAGGTTGTCGAATAGTTAGGTTAGTTAATAATATCATTAGATTCCTGCCGTATGGCTTGCTCCACACGTGCAGTGGTACGAGCGGGACTACATCCAGCTGAGAATGGATTACTTTATACCGAAGCTAGTGTGTGCCTTGTCCTGGGTATGGCGCGAGGAGACGCAGCTGAACTGGTTTTCTGGCTGTAGTTGCAGTGGCGTTGCCTACAAACAGCAAAATGCACATTCTGATGACAGCAAAATGCAAATGCACATTTTGATAATGCTATGTACTATCAATTATATTCTGCGTATAGATAGTGATCCGTACACCTCACAATCAGCAATCTGTCGTATGGCGAGGCTATGTTCACGCAAGACCAATGACAGAATTAGTCTGTAGTGTCTTACGACGTGTACTCGTAGTGTAAAAGCGACTAGAGCCCCCAAACAGTAACGAATTTGGTTACGGCAGAAATCACTAGATTGACCGTACGGTATACCGTATACGGCAGTACCGTATACGGCAAGCCCATTGTAAAACCGTGTTTTTGGCTTACGGTTACGTACGGCACTTTCGTTACAGTAGCTTTAATCACGGATACACTAGTTTAATTCACATTTTTTTACGATACAGTATCAGCCGCCAGGTACTGCATAGTTAACAGCCTAAAGTTATTAAGGTCATAATTTACTTGTTGAGGCTGCATCGTCAAACAAAGTGTCCGCGCCCCGTCAACAGTGGTTGTTTGCGTTTGCCGGATTATTTCCTCAGTTTTTCTGCTTATCGAGCCAACGGTCACGACAGATACGTACCGGTACAGAAACATCCGAAACTTACCACAATGGCACTGTATTCTTGGTCTAACATCGTATACACTGACAGTGTACCACTAAAATTGTTTAGATGAGCCCGGGTTTCTGGAACCGGCATTAACGTGCTTATTAGATTCCTCAGTAGGTACAATAGCCATGCAGATGCTGTTTTGGATGGTACAGATATCTGGGCATCTGGTTATTCTGCCGAATTTTTCACATGGTACCCGTGCACGCTTGCAATCGTACAGCGGATTTCTTCCTCCATATCAGGATCTACGTCTTTCTCGATATCAGGATCTACGGCTACTTTCGGTCAGTAGCGCATCCTAGTCATCCCTTTTCCCAGTACGGGGTTACATACTTAATACAGGTTGTATTCTCAAATGCATTTGTATTTATTTTGGAGGAATATACTTTTACGGCTGTATTTGCCTGTATCGGTAGTATGGTCACTGGTCAGTGGCTGCATCCACAATTCAACGGATTTCTCTACTTACTGTCCATCAGAATTTCAATAAATCGGTGAATGTTTTATTTGAACGGTATAAATGAAGCCAGCGTAACCCTATTTGAGAACACGTCGAAAAGAAACAAGAAATACACAACAAAAAAATACACTTTTCCAACGAGAAACAGCAGCATCACACCCTCGACACAAACCAACCAAAAAACAGAAGAAAAAACACTAACAACAGTATAAAAAAAACACCCACCCGGCAACAAAAATCCGTATAAATCCCTCTCCATTTCCGCCAATCCGCGGCGCCCCCTAACAAAAGCCCCACCCATCCTCCCCCGCCCATCCTGTACAGAAAATCATCCTCTACTCAACCCACCGCATCCGCCACCACCCCGTGCACCGCCCCCTCACGGCGGTAGCTCCGTCCGAACCGCGCCATATACTTCCGAATATGCTCCTTGATTTTCGGTTTATGCTTCGCCGAGAACTGCAGCGCCTCGGGATTATACTTGTGCCGCTGCATCTCCTGCTCCACGACATTATGGGTAAATTTCCTGGCCAGGAATTTGAAATCCTCCTTGGATTCGATGCGGCCCTGGGTGCATTGGGGCGCCCGGTAGTGATTTAATACAAGTAAGATAAACTGGCAGACGTCGTTCTGGAAATCGATTTTGCGCTTCTTGGCCGTGGCGCGAGCGTGCCGCCGCGTGCCCAGCAGGTCCGGGGGGAGGCTGGCGGTGAGGGGCGGGGGCGGGGCCAGGGGGGCGGGCCCGGCGGCGGCGGCGGCGCGCTCGGCGGCCTCGATGCTGCGCGTCCAGGCGTTGAGATCGACGGCCGCCTCCGGGAGGAAGGTGAAGTCGCGCAGGTCGGCGGGCAGGGTTAGGGTGTGGATCTGGTGGAGGCTGGAGGAGTAGGTTAGGTTCTCCACGGGGAATTCCCACCGTGACACCCTACACAGCCCATTTATTAATTAATTTTCGAATTTTTTTCTTCTAATTTTCGAATGTATTTTCCTATTTTTATTTCCTTTTTACGTTCTTCCTAATTTTCTCCAGATGGATGGGATGTCCTCTTCGCGTCAATGACAGTTTAAAATCATCTATATTTTCTTCGTAGAAACGGTTAAAAAAATTCTCCATACGAGTACTAAAAATTGTCACATTAAAAATAAAAAATGTATTAAATTATCAGGAAAGTTTTCTACAGTAAGCATTCAGCAGCACATGTAATACACTGAAAAAAGTCACTGATGCCAGCAATTAGAGCAGGAATTACCGCCGGCGTATTGCTGTCCAGGAAGTGTTGCGCGATAAAGGAAGCTCACGTCATAAGGAAGTCATAATTTACACGTGCGTAATACACCGAGACGTTATTATTGTTCCGTTCTGCTTGAATTACGAGCAATTTCCTTACGCTCCGGGCGACACGATATAAATCACAAAACATCGTACGAAAATAATCAAAAAATCAAGAAAATATTCCAGTGCAATTTCCAACAATTACAAAAACATCACACAAAATTCATAATAAAAATAATTAAAAAAATTGAGGGAAATATTCTGGTGAAAAATTGAACAGAAACACGACCAAAAACTCGTAAGAAAATAAATAAAAAATAAAAGTCCGTGTTCTGGTGAAATTTTTAACAAAAGAAAACCGCACAAAATTCATAATAAAAGAATTTTACAAAACTAAACAGACCACGTTCTCGTGGAATTTCATTTAACAGAAAAATACCACAATAACTCGATAAATTTCTCCTTCTTACCCGGTGATGGTGTTGTAGAAGTACAGCCGCCCAATCCGGTCGTAGGCGGGCGCCCAGTCCTTGGGGAGGTGCGTCATCTGGGTGAGATCGAAGTTGGCGGTCCAGCCGGTGACCAGCTTGAGGGGCGGGGCCTCCTGGGGCACTAGCTCCATCTGCATGCACGCGGCGATCTCGCCGGCCTTCTCCTGCCACGACTCCGAGCCCACCGCCGGCAGACTGCTGACGATGGCCTCCGCCTGCTCCGGCGTCGGTTTGAACTGGCGGATGTCGTGCACGCTCTGGTCCGACAGGCACAGATTCACCGCCTGCTTACTCGGCACCAGCGCATTCTGCCAACAACGCAGTTTTCATAATACGGAGAAACAACCGTTAATCACACAATAAATAATTAAAATTACTGGCAAATTCGATGAAATAAACGGTAAAAATTCTCCCTAAATTAGAAAACTATAATGATTTAATTCCAAAAAATGCAGTAAAAAATTCACCATACAGTATTAACCCGTTCCCGGACCATGCGGGCATAAAGCAATAAAAACATCTAATATTAAGTAAAATGTTGACAAATTAAATTGCCACTGCTCTATGATTTTCTGGAAACATCACTTTACACAAACTAATAAAACAACTGGAATAAAATAAATTCGTATCAATTTAACTTACAATTTTGTTTCGAAATAAAATATAAATAAAAATGCTGTAAATAAATAATATAGCTAGAAAATTTCTGAAAATACTAACAACGCTTTATAAATCTCTACCAATTAAAATAAGAAGGCCTGCCTGATAAACAAGCCGACAAACTCCAAATTCACAAGCGAAAAGTGTGTAAAATCTGGCGAAAAAATTCCCAAAATAATCACGTTAAGGTAATAATAATATAGCGAGTTTTATAGTGAATTTTTCTGGCGCGGCTCAGCTGCATACCTGCAAGCGCATGGACAGATCCATGCCGATCTGCTGCTGCAGCGCCACCTTCTTGGCCTCCTCCTCCGCTTTCGCTCGCGCCAGCGCCGCGGCGTCCACCACCACGGGGGGCGGCTCCACCATCATCCCCCGGCCGTCCGCCCAGGCGGCGGCGGCCTCCAGGAACGGCAGGCCCCCAAAGGGCAACATCGCCGCGGCGTGCCCCATAAACTGCCGGCGCCGCTCGATATCCGCCGGCACCGGGAAGGGGAAGCGGCGCTCCATGAAGGCGGCGCGCGGATCCCGCTCGTAGGGGGCGTCGAAGCGGCGGAAGGGTGTCAGGTTGTTGGGGAAGAATTTGGGGCGTTTGTTGGCGGCGGTGAAGGCGGGGGGCGAGGGGGAGCGCTGCCGCACCCGGCCCCATCCGGATAAGGTGGGGATGGTGGAGCCGTTGACGGGGGGCGGGCGGAGGGGCGGGGGTGGCTGTTTCTTGGCGGCCTCGGCGGCGCTGGCCGCCGCTTGCTCCTCCGGGGTCAGGATCTTCTTGGGGATTTTGTACAGCATCTGCACAACCAGTTATACATGAAGACCAAGCAGAAAAAATCGCAGCGTAAATAAAACAGCAGCAAAATATGTTTTTTTAGCGCCGGTTTTACAATTCCAGCGCATTTGTAAAGCGAATTACGTCGGGTTTATAATTATTTTGTTATTGGACACATATTCCCAGGAGGTAATAATATCGCCAAGAAAATCAAAAAATATTAAACAAAAGTAATTAAATAAAAACAGTACCGTAAACAAAATAAGCAGCAAAATACGAATCAACGCCGGTTTTAAAATTAATTTGCCATTGACCGCCTATCTGTACTCGTATTTTTGTAAAGATCAATTTTAAACGCGTCAAACAATATTTTGTCAATGATAATAAACAGGTATAAAAACAAATTCTAACTCAAATTAATACAAATGAACACACAATAATTTTAAAATATTTCATCAATAAGTTACAATAAATTTCGTCATAAAATCACGTTAAATTTTGTTAATAAATTAGAAAAATCCCCAGTAAACTGTGTTGAATTTTGTCATTAAGCTCGCAAAATCGGCATTAAATTAAGTTGAATTTCGCCTTTAAATCAGAAAAATGTGAGGAAAATACAAAAATAAAGCGTAAATCAAATTCAAAACACTGCATTAAAAAACTATAAGTCAATTTTACCTTGAGCGTCTCCCATTTATCCAGCAGCTGCCCGGCAGCTTTCTTCACCATCTCATCCTCCTCCGGGCTGCTCTTACTCCCCGGCCTAACCGTCGCCGGCACCGCTTCCTCCTCGTCATTCTCCTCCTCCTTCACGGCCACCTTCCCGGCCTCCACGTTCTCCTTGCCCTTGTCCACGTTGTCGACGATGACCGAGGGACGCTGCTGCACCAGCACCGGCTCCTTCTCGCTCTTGACCACGGGCGTGGCCGGCGTTTCGGGGGGTGGTGGGGGCGCCTCGCGTGCCGGCAGCTCCTTACTGAGCGCCTGCACCATGGAGGCCGCCGCCGGGTCCTTGGGCACGCTGACATCCCGCCCGGCCCACCGCTCCAGCGTCTCCCAGATCTTCGAGTCGATCAGGCCGTTCTTCGTTACGATGGGTAGGATGGACAGGGTCTGCAGGATCTGCAGCGCATCGGAAAATCAATTAGCAACCACAATAAAATCATTTTAAACGTGTTGTGGTGGAGCGTAGACTAATTTCGCCAACGGATCGAAATCAAAGCACCACAGAAGACAACAGCAATCACAGGCACTAGAAAGAAATCGTAGTGTATGGGCATGTGACACTCCATGTTACTCCGCTGCCATGGTATGACTGTGAGAAAATTCTCAATTTTGTTCAAGATAACCATTCAAAACAGAAACTATACAAAACTACAAAACTAAACTACTATACTACTATTCAAACTACAAAACTATACTACTATTCAAAACTATTGTAAATTGCTCATGATTTTTTTCCAGATTTAGCAAACACTCTGCCACACACAGGAAAATTATTACAGAAAACGGAGCAATAATAACAAAATAATAAATTTTTCAACAAAACATATTATATGGTATATTATTCTGAACTTTTTATGATACTGAGGGAAACATGGCCAAAAAAGAATCCAAAATCCTCGGTTAAAATTAATTAAAACTGGCAGAGCAATCTGCAGCAATACGTTATTTGACAAGCAAGAAACAACTGTACTGTAAAACATGTTGTAAATGTCATTTTAAAATATGAAATACCAATATTAAAATCGTATTAGACATAAAAACCGTACGGTTGATAGGTACCTCTTGTTTGACATCGGCGGGCGAGTGGCGGCAGGAGTACATGGCGTCGGCCAGGATGGTGAGGCCCTGGCAGCGCAGGAAGGCCTTGAGCGCATCGGGATTCTTCTCCGAGTTCTGGATGACGCGCAGCAGAATGGCGCGGTCCGTGTCTTCCTCCACGCGCAGCAACAGCCGCGCCAGCTTCAGCGCCTGCTCGGAATTACGGATGGAGCCCGCCTGCACGAAGCGGTCAATCTCCGACACCATCTACAAGGTCCACACTCCGTCAACCCTCAATTAATGACGAATTAAAATATACACATTCCAAATGCACTCGAGTTTTTTTTTTTAATTTTCAACCTGCTGAAAATACGGCGCATTAATCACCGATAAAATTAAGGAAAATTAAGTCTAGTCCAGGGAAATTAAGTCCAGTCAATAAATCAATTTTCACCACGATAAACATGCAGCGCATAAACTTCTCTTAAAATTTAAAAAAATTAAATTCAGTCAATTATTAGTCAGTTCAACGTGTTCGCTGCCAAATCACTGCATACAGAAATATATAAAATAATTACAGCCACTCCATTATTTAATAAATTTCAACATGCTCGGTGCCAAATTATTTGCATTTAAAAACAAGAGAAAATTACATCCACCCAATTATTAACAAATTTCAACATGTGCGGTGTCAATTAATTTCATTTAAAATAGATAAAAAAATTCAAAACCCCTTCTAAATTAAATTCTAATTTAAATGCCTTTGAATAAATTAATAAATTTTGTCGTACAACGTGTAGGCAGCTAACCTTGCGATCGCTAATCTCTCCTTTAGCCATCTTCCGCTTCTCCTCCCCGACAGATCCAATAAACCCGCGGCACAACGGACTGCCGCAGTAGCAGCGCTGCGCCTTCTTCCCGTAGCGCTCAAACTGGTAATCAAAGGTAATCTCCTCCCCGGCGCTCACCGCGCGCAGCGTGAAGAACCCGATGCGCAGCTGCCCGTTCACCGTCCACTGCGCAACCAAACCACCATCAATCTATTTTTTCCAACTGCCCATTCATTTTTCTAATTAATAGCTGTTTTTTGTATAAGTTTTCAGTTGTCAGATTAAAAAAAAAAACAAATACTGAGAATAAGAACAATTACTAATGCTACCCAAGAAACAGCGACGAAAATGCCCATTGAAAATTCCATACAACTGATAAAAGGAGACGAGCAATTTGACTGACTGGTGCCACGGTTAAAGGCGTGGTGACGTACCTTCTGCGTCTCGCTGTTGGGATCGCAGCTGTGGTTGGTGAAGCGCGTGAAGTTGCCCTTCTTCGTGGCGTCGATGACCTCCTCGTTGTTCAGCGCCATGAAGTAGTGGTGCTGGATGTTCTCCTTGTGGTACTCCTTCTGCCGCTTCTTGAACTGACGCTCATCCAGAATCTCCCCCACATACTCACAAATAAACTGATTCCTACACAAACCAGACATATCAAATCGCGTCAAACACCAACAATAAAATTCATACCATTCCCAGTATTTTCCCTGTGTTTTAAAAACAGATCAAAACCAAATCAATGCACGAAAACTTTATTTATTATAAATAAACTGCGATATTCTGAAAAAGGACAAAATGAATAACAAATTAATTAAATAACTCAAACCAAACTGATCGAATAAATTCGTCACCATCGGAAAGAAATACACGAAAAATTCAATACAGAAAAATTAAATTGAAAATAAATTTTCAGATGAATTAAATTACACAAATTAAGTCATATTAAAGGAAAAAAATAGGTACGTACGCGGCAAGTTTGGTCTCGGTGCGGATGCCCCATCCCTTCATCTCGGTTTTGAATACTTTCAATTTGACGTACTCCCTCTGTGGGAGACAGAGAAATTTCAAGCATCAGCGAACAACCAGTGCAATGCGCGTCGTACCCGTTGGAAGCGTTTATTGGCGCAGTGGTCCTTGGCGGGGCATTTGGGCCCGCACTCAATGTACAGCATGCGGTTGAGGCAGTGCTCCAGGCAGCCGCGCGCCCCCGCCTGCCGGTCCTCCTCCGTGTACACGCACTCGCAGCGCATCTTCCGCGCTTCCCGATCCTCGCGGAACCTTCACAAACACACCAAGACTATTATTTTTAAAAAAAAAAAGAGGAAAACTGAAATACAAATCTGCGCTCAGTTTGAAACAGTATTCTCCATCAAATAAATCGCCGCAATCGGCAAAGGGCAAATAAAGAATTTTCTCTCGATAACCAGCTTCTATTACGAAGTATAAATTCGTATCTCACCATAACAAACCCACAGCACATTTGGTCAAATTCTTTTTGATTTAAAACCTTCAATTTAACGCAAATGACCTGCCAAAGGAATGGATCGTAGTGTTATGGCTTTTAACCCAAGTGTCCTCGATTACAATTCTGGTTTCACGTTCACATGCTAATATTAAACAACCTTTCGTAGACAACAGCATAATCTTTTTAAAAAACTTAAATTTCGAACATGTAAAACTCATTACTTTAAATTCCGGACCATTTCTACTCCAAACAGCTCTGGTAAAAACAGCAATAAATTGAAAAATAACACATTTTAACGATTTTAAGAACAAATTAATAACAGATAAAGAAATTAAAATCAGTTAAATAAAACAATTCACATAAATCGAAATCTACTATCCATCAAATTTTTGACGATTTAAAACTGAAAACCAAAATAAAACTCTAAGTCAAAAAAATAAATAATAATCCACTTAGAATCGGTTAAGAAAAAACAATACAAAAAATTAAAATCTGCTCTAAATCGTAATAAATCAAAACCTAATCGTCAGCTCGTTTCACTTAGCAATAAATTGCACAAATTACAAGAATAATTCCCCCAAAACCTACTCATGCCGCGACAGGCGAATGCAGTCGGAAATAAACTCATAGGGCGGCGGCGTTTCGCCGGGCGCGGCGTAATCCTGAGCCTTGGCGGTTTTGGCGGACGCGGGCGGTGTGCGGGTGTCGGCGGCGGACAGGAGTTCCACTCTGACCTGCGTAGCGACCGGATCGGCGCAGACCAGCTCGGCCCAGCGCGACTTGAGTTTGCGCGGGCCGTGTGCGTCGCCCGGCTCGTCGGCGTCGCGGGATTCCACCTCCGAGGTGTGCGACACCGTGTCCTCACTGGCCGGCGTCACGCCCACCTCCGTCGTCGTCGTGGTGGTGCTGCGGCCCGCCACGGTCGCCACACTGCTCACCGGGGAGTCCGTACTGCTCGTCGTCACACTCTTCGCTTTCTGCGTAAATAAACAAAATTTAAATAACTATTAACACTTCCCCATTCACGAATAAAATATTAATTTTCCCATACATGTTAACGCAATGCATTTCTCAACAAGTTCATAACACTTTATAAATTCATCGACAAGTTTTGAGAACCGCCGAAACCTCGATCGAAATCATAATCCACAATTAATTCGATTTTTTTTGTTGAAAACCTATGAATAAAAATTCATTTTATCCGTTTAATTACTACTAATTCATACAGCATTCCTGGCTTAAATTAATCGGTTCTGGGCTTCTCGGTGACGGAATTCAGATTCAAAAATTGTTCCAGAAAAAAAGATTTTTTTAAAAACAATTTCTATGTTGATTTAAATCATGACACACACCAACGTTACAGCATAACTAGCAGCTAATTCCTGGTGCAACGATTTCCTTAGCCACTCTACTACGATTGCTTTACATTTCAATACGTATCACGGTATACCACTTTTCCACTTAACAATCAATTAATCCAGAAAGACAACCAAAAAATTCCTACAGCGCTGATTTATTGTTATGTTCCCTCGTTTCCGACTGCCGATATATTTTTCTATTTATTTATTTTTATTTCAGGTATATTCAATTTTTTAAAGCCATTATTACGCAAATTTTCAGCTTCAACCACAGTTTTTCCCGGCCAGCGCCATACTACATTTAAATACGGCCTATTTTAGAAAAAATCCCGTTTCCGACCCTCCTCAATCACACTGATCATCCCCGCTTTTCAGCCATATGGCGATGACACATCCCCTCCTCTCCAGTGCACATTAATTCTCCCGGTGAAAAGGTAAGACATCCCGCATGACTAGCCCCAAACTTCCCCCGCAGTTAATCGCGCAGCAGCCAGCCATCGCCGCCACGCACAGGCAAATCAATACGCTTAGTGCATCGACCGGTTTTCCTCTCGGGCAGTGGAATGTACAGTCGAGAGGACGGAAGCTGTCAGCAGTGTGCTGCACAAACAGTTGAGAAAAAGCCCCCATACTCCGTCGCGATCGATAAGGTATGAAAACATCGCTGCGCGTACACTGTACGAGGGCTGTATTTTCATCACATGCAGCACAGAGAGGAATCTCAGTGCCTGCGTGTTATTCTAAATTAACCCCATTAATAACTCCGTGTTGTGTATTCACAGGAGCAGCTAACGGAGCGTCTATCAATGCTGTCTGATTTTCCCAAGGCGTCTGAATGTCACCTTACGCTGCAGCGCGTAGATGATTAAAATGAGAAACAGGAGAACCTGGATCCGGTGGGATCAGCATCGCCTACCGATCTCACGAACGAAATAGAACCAGCCTCTTTCTACAGTGCTATCATCCCACAACCTATTTCGAATTTGTTCAAGAAACGGAGCGACTGTGCGCTGACATACTGACCAAGATGATTTCCAAAAAATAAAATTCATTAGTTATAGGAAACTTTAAAAATAATAAACTGGTGGGAAAAAAATTGAATGAAAATTTTCCTGCAATTAACCGTAAAATCACACGCTACAAGCATTACAGTAAACTACTGTATTACTACAAAAAATATCAAAAATAACGCCTCACGAGTTTGGAAAAAGCCTGACCAAAATTTATAATAAAAAAAAATAAAAACTGAAAAAATTACCAAAACCAGACGCTCACAGGTTTTCAGAACATTTGGATTACAGTAAATTCATCATCACTTGGAAAAATTGCAAACTTAAGAAAAAAATGCCAAAACCAGTGCCGCGGTGGCGAAAAACAGTGCTGTTTACATTCATAAACAAACAGAAATATTCACAAAATAATTATCAAAATTCATGCCGCAATTTTCTACAAAAAACACGTGAATTCATCAGCAGCCAGGACATTATCAAATCCCTTATCACACCATTATTACCAGGAAATTATCAAAAGACCGAAGAAAAGCGCTTAATCAGGTAGATAAGATAAAAAGCTGCAAACACCACACTCACCGGTTTCCGTCCGCGCTTTTTGGGCACCGGGGCGGCCGGCGCCTCCACCACGCCCATTTGCCCGTTGACTTCCACCGCAGGCGGCGGCGGGGGCGCCACCACCACCACAACCGGCACCTCCTCCTTCTTCACCGACCCTTTGCGCACGGAGGACGCCCGTTTGCGCGCCACCGGTCCACGACTGCCCTTCTTCCGTCCCCGTCCCCCCTTTTTCCGTATCATGACATCCTCGGCCATAATCTGCTCCAGCCGCTGCTCAAATTCATCATCATCCTCCTCCTCGTCCTCCACGGGCGCCTCCTCCACCTCCGTGGAGCTGGTCATCTTCAGCAGGTCCTCCACGCGCTTCTGGATGTAGTCTTCCTCCGTTAGGCGACGGGGCGGGGCCGGTTGGCCGCCGCTGTCCAGGAGGAGGGGCCCCGGGATGCCGAAGCTGTTCTCGGGGGCTGGGGAGTGCCGCATGACGGGCGGCGGCGGCGGCGGGAGGTTGATGAAGGAGGAGAAGGAGGGCTTGCGCGGCGGGGAGGCCGAGGAGCGCTCGTTGGAGCTGGAGCGCTGGCTGTGCGGCTCGTTGGGATCTGCACAACAATCGTAACATACTGCGTCTGTTTCTAGCAACATTATTAATCTAGAAATCACTAAATACGAATCATTTCAAAATAAAATGTTCAAATGTCATTACAATGTTTAAATCTTTAAATGCTCTTCAAATAGTTTTAGGTGGGAAATTGATAAAGTAAAACTTTAACAGACGATGACAAAATTTTAAGAATATTACTCTAATAAATACAAAACAAATCCGTATGCGCTATGTTATGAAAAAGCATTTAAAATATATATAAAACAAGAATAAAACTTATTCTGTAGTAAAAACGGGTTCTGTTGTTGTAGTTTTGCGTGTCTTTTTTAATAATTTGTTAATTGTGTTTTTGATTTAAACAATAAAGTGTAACAATGGCAGAACAAACACAAAACCAACTTATCTTAAAATTAATTATTGATGACTAGTGCAACTAATAATTACAACATAAAGTTAAAAACGAAAACAACAAACTTTCACGATTCATTCGCGATTCTTTAGTTCAGGATCGGTGCTCATCCTGACTGGAAAACACACCAGTTATTTCAACATAAATCCTCTTTGTAAAAATTAAAATTAAAAAAACGCAATGCGTCAAAAAACGCCAGTAAAAAAATCCTATGAATAAAAATTCACGGTTTTGATTTTGCAAACTCGGTAAAAGACATTTAAAAACGTTGAAAACGATAAACGGAAGTGAAATGAATAGGTTTCCATCGCCATAAGGAATTCAAAGTATTTAATCCCCGCAAAAGTAAAACGACCCGTTTAAAATCACGCACAAGTTCCCTGTTGCCAGACAGTGACAATCCACACAAAAAAATCTAAAAAACTCTTCCCTATCCTCTTCCCCACGCCATCCCCCCGTATCCTACCTGAATTGACATTCTCTGAATTGCCCTCATTGACATCCTTAATGGTGAGGAACTTGAATTTGCCCATCTTCTTCGTCTCCGACACGGTGGTGCCCGTGGAATTGGGCCCGTTCGGGCCGCCTCCGCCACTCCCGGGCTCCGTCCCTCCGTTGACATACGCCGTCGTCGTGATGACGGGCACACAGCCGTTGATGCGCAGCCGCGATATCTCCACTTCCTGGCCGGTGGAGGAATTGTAGTGGGTGAAATACCCCGCGGGTTCCTGCTGCTGGTCCCCACTCATTTTGCCAATGACAATGTGCGCGTGTACAGGGAAATGATCAGATCAAGATAATTACACAGGTACAGATTCAAACGTGTTCGAACATGTTGATCAGGTATAGTCCAGGAGAATTTCGCATAACTTGGAGAGGTATCCCATTTTTCTGAGGTAAACAAGATAACCACACGGAAATTTAAGAGAAACTGGGTTTTGAAATCGATCAGTGTGGAGTTTTGTTCAGCAACACAACACACACGCACACACACACGGGACGAAATTTCAGAAATGTTGCTCGATATGGGCTGCGCGCATGGCGTGCACGGACACGTACGATCTACGCAAGCGCGCACATGGCGCGATGCCATATGACGTGCGGCGTAGCATCACACGGGGGTTGCCTTAACTCTGGTAACTGTTGAATAAGCCGGTTTTAATCGATCAGCGTTACGATAGAATTGCACACGTTTACAGTTCGGCGCGGCACGCCATTCCGCACAGTTGGTGCTGCGTATCCACTGTGCCCATGCTGTGTGTATCGTAGCCTTCGTAGGGCGAGCTGCTTGCCTGATTTCTCCACGCGGTACCAGTGCAGCCCATCGCAAAAGCAGGGAGAAAATCACAGTCTGCTGAAAGAACGGTTGCAAACGAATTTCCTTTTCATCTCCACTGTCTCCTCTACCTATTCCAGAATTTTTCGATATAATTTCTAGCCAACCATGCTGCGATCTCTGCAGAGATTATCGACGACGGTCATCCGGGGCGCCGCGCAGGCGCAACAGCCCACCTTCGCCCTTCCCGCTGGTACGTCCCTGTTTTGCTTCCCTGCATTCCCGTGTCTGCATGGCGATCTAACCTTCTGTTTTCTCCAGTGCAACAACGCTTCCAGAGCGGTCGTCCCCAGCCCCAGCAGCCCCCGCAAAAGGGCCCCGGACCGCAGCAGGGCGCCCCGCAGCGCGGCGGACCCGCGACGGGTCGTGAGGGCCGCGCCGTGGCGGATGGCCGTATTGTGGCCGTCATCGGTGCCGTGGTGGATGTGCAGTTCGACACGGATCTGCCGCCCATCCTCAACGCCCTGGAAGTGAAGAACCGCTCCCCGCGGCTGGTCCTGGAGGTGGCGCAGCATCTGGGCGAGAACACCGTGCGCACCATCGCCATGGACGGTACGGAGGGATTGATCCGCGGACAGGATGTCGCCGATACGGGCTATCCCATCCGCATCCCCGTGGGACCGCAGACACTGGGCCGCATTATGAACGTCATCGGCGAGCCCATCGACGAGCGCGGCCCCATCCAAACCAAACAGTAAACACAAATTTAAATAATTTTCAAATTGTTATGCAGCGCAACCCGTGATTATACTGTTCTGCCTTACGATTCACTTTGCCGTACAGAGAACATAACGGCCATGGTCGTATTTAAAACGTTTTTTGCTCGATTGTTGGCTGAAACTTTTCCTTTTCTCTCTTATTTTTCGTTCTTGCAAGAACCATTATTTTTCTAAAGCTACATTGTTTTCTTGCTAAAATATATGTTTTTTATGGACGATATACTTTTTTAACATAGCGTAAATGATGACACCGCTGTTCTGGCACACACTGTGAATCGCAGTACAGGGAAACCATCGGTCATAGTCGTATCGATACAAATTGTTCTGCTGAATTAATTTTTCTAATTTTCCTTGGTCGTCTTGTTCTTCATCCTTGCAATTAATTTATTTGTAGACTGGCGCCTATCCACGCTGATGCTCCCGAGTTCGTGGAGATGAGTGTGCAGGCGGAGATCCTGGTGACGGGCATTAAAGTGGTGGATCTGCTGGCGCCGTACGCCAAGGGCGGCAAGATCGGGCTGTTCGGCGGGGCCGGCGTCGGCAAGACCGTACTGATCATGGAGCTGATCAACAACGTGGCCAAGGCGCACGGTGGCTACTCCGTCTTCGCCGGGGTGGGGGAGCGCACGCGTGAGGGCAACGATCTGTACCATGAAATGATTGAAGGCGGTGTGATCAGTCTGAAGGACGCCAGTTCCAAGGTGAACACGGGAGCACATCACGAATTTTCGCTAAATTCTCACTACCATAAATAAATGGTGCAGATATTATTTTTGTTGAATATTTGGCTGGTTAGTCTGGAAAAAAATTCAAAAAATTACATATTTAATTTCATTTCAATTAATTAATGGAGAATTACGTGAAATTTTCCATTACATTTTTCGAAATTAGGTATTTTAATTTTTCGCAATCTGAAAAATGGAAGTGACCGATTGTTCTCCGGCACGGATTAATAACTTTATTGGATATGTGTGGCTACATTTGGCTAATAATTTTTACTGAATAATTGTAAATAATTGCCAGTATTAATTTTAGTAGGATTAATAAACGAAGAATATATAGGAATTTTCTACTGTATTTTTCGGAAATTTTTTTTTAAATTTGAAAATGATTGGTTATGTTGTGTAGGTGGCCCTGGTGTACGGGCAGATGAACGAGCCGCCGGGCGCCCGTGCCCGTGTGGCGTTGACGGGATTATCGGTGGCGGAGTACTTCCGCGACCAGGAAGGCCAGGATGTGCTGCTCTTCATCGACAACATTTTCCGCTTCACCCAGGCCGGCTCCGAAGTGCGTAAAATACCCTCGATAATTCCCATCTATCATCATAGAAAACAAATTAAATATCATCGTGTAGCCTGATATTTTATTAGGATTAAAATAGCCTCGCCAAGATTGATATTGATTTAAGAAAATCGAAAATAATTATGACGTTGGCTCTCGGATAAATATATCATTATAATCAATCCAGTCTGTTTCGCTAATATAAACGCTACGTGAAAATTACATGAGAAAGCTTCTGCGTGCTGACGTAAATTTCTGTCGATCGATAAATTTGTGGATAGTATACGCTGCCATTTAGGGAAATTACTGGTGCTGACGTTAGGTATAATTGATGCGCATTTTTCTTAAAATAAAAAGAAATTAACAGGAATTTATTTCAATAAAAATTAATTTATTTTCAGGTGTCCGCTCTGTTGGGTCGTATTCCCTCGGCCGTCGGCTACCAGCCCACCCTGGCCACCGACATGGGTACTATGCAGGAGCGCATCACCACCACCAAGAAGGGCTCCATCACCTCCGTGCAGGTAAAACACGATTATTTAGTTATTATTGATTTTAATGCGGAGTTAATGGTGTATGTTAATTATTATCGATTTAATGCTGAATTTATGGTGTATTTTGTTTATTTTTGATAATTATCGGATAGTTGATGTTGTGATGTATGATTAGGCGATCTACGTGCCGGCCGACGACTTGACGGATCCGGCGCCGGCCACCACCTTCGCCCATCTGGACGCCACCACGGTGTTGTCGCGCGGTATCGCTGAATTGGGTATTTATCCGGCCGTCGACCCCCTCGATTCCACCTCGCGTATCATGGACCCCAACGTCGTCGGCGATGAGCACTACGGAACGGCGCGCGCCGTGCAGGTATGCATTGCCGTTTTTTTTGTGTATAAAATAAAATTAATCAGTCTATCGAAAGGGTCTTGATTGTCAAGCAAAGAATAAGGCATCTTTTTTTGCGATTTTCGCAGTGCAGTCTCATGCGTGACGACGGTGCAGTAATGCTCTTTTTCCCGGTTCAGATTTTTATGCAGATTAATGAAAATTGTCGATAATTCTTTATCAAAAACAATACAAACCTTGTCTTGTAAATAACGACATAAAAAGCGTATTAAATCAGTGTTTTTATGATTCGATCGTTGAGTGAACACTGAATACATATTTTCTGTAATTTCTTTTCGAAATAAATTGGAGTAAATAAAATCGATAAATAAAAAATCATCAATCGTATACGGCGGCATAAAAAGCTGATTAATACAGTTCCTTAGTTGAGTGAATTTTTTTAAACCATTTTATTCTGGAAATTACTGATCAGAAATAACGAAATAATTTACTGTAATTTCTATGCCAGTCTTTCGTAATTTCTGGAAAAATTCTCAGCGGAAATTGTAATTGAAAAATAAAAAAATGAAATTGTAATTGAATTAAATTGTAAATAAAATTTCTCCGTGTTGTAGAAAATCCTGTAGGACACCGCAGCCCTGAAATAATTTGCTGCTCCGCGGAAATTGATTAAAACAATTGTTTTTGTTTTTTGTTGTAGAAAATCCTGCAGGACTACAAATCCCTGCAGGACATTATCGCCATCCTGGGTATGGACGAGTTGTCGGAGGACGACAAGCTGACGGTGGCGCGCGCTCGCAAGATCCAGCGTTTCCTGTCGCAGCCCTTCCAGGTGGCCGAGGTCTTCACCGGCACACCCGGCAAGTTCGTCTCCCTGAAGGACACCATCAAGGGCTTCAAGATGATCCTCAACGGCGAGCTGGACCATCTGCCCGAGGTGGCCTTCTACATGATCGGCGACATCAATGAGGTCATTGCCAAGGCCGAGAAGCTGGCGCAGAACGCGTAATTGGAGGAACGGTTGCATTTTATTTAAATGGTTGTACGTAGTGAATACTGTTGTTCGTCTGTTTGTGCTTTTATTTTGTGGATTGGATTATTTCTGTTTTTGGCTGGCAGTTTTGTGTTTCCCCCCGTTGGCTGCGCGACTGATGTATAACGGTTTCATTTTTCGGATCCTAATGTTTCACGTTGGAAAATTCAGTAAAAAATGAATAACGACTTTGTCAAGAATTTATTATTGTTTTGGCGATTTTTTCTAAAAAGACATTTTATTCGACATAAAAATGTTATTATATTCGACATGAAAATGTTTTTTATGCAGATATTTTATTCGACAGAAAAAATTAATAAGAATTGAGAATTTAGAAAGTTCCTTATGAATAACGACTTTGTTAAGCTCGTTATTGTTTTCGGGATTTTTTTCTAAACAGACACTAGATTTTTTATTGGACAGATACTTGATGTTTTATTCGGCAAAAAAGCAAGATAAGAAAAATTTAGAAAACTGAAGGAAAATTGAATAACTACAGTACTTCGTTAAAACACGCATTATTATTTTTGGAATTTTTTCTACGTTGCAATAGACTCTGAACGGATACGGCTCTAATACCTGCAACTTGCAAGTACAGATACGAGTAGATCTGTAAGTCTTCGTTCTGTATTGAAACAAACTCCCAGACAATGTAAATAAATAATTCGTATAAATGTGACATCTAATTATTCTAATATAGTAAATCTATGGTTTTTGTGCACCGAAATATATGTATTTTGTCAGTTTATACTCGAACAAAAAGTGTTTGCACAAAAGTGTTCATAGACACAAATACGATTTGCCGTTGATCGTTGGCTGTACATTTTTTGCAATTTTCTTGTCGAAAGAATTATAAATAAGTAAAGGAATAAATAACTACATGCAGTGTTGAATTAAACAACTTCAATAACAGTTTTACAGATAAATTAATCTGTGAAAAATTTGTCCGTAAGTAACGGTTAGACAGATTTCTCTATTTCGCACTTGCCACAAAGGTCACGTATTGTGCAAATATGCCATCTTTCGCGAAAGGTCACGCGTGTTGTGTATACAGCCCACCGCAGAAAGCCACATGTAGAACGTTTTGTTATGATATACAGCCGAAAGGTCACGCTTTTTGGGTATGCGTACGGTTGTCTGAGAAAGGTCACCATGAAGTACAGGACCATGCATGCGGATATATTTTGAAAAATTAAGTAATAAAATCAGCAAACAATGCGCATAAATCGCCGGCACCGTTTTCGAACCGAGAAGCGATTGTTTGCGCAGTATGCGTCAGAATCAGGGCATCTACCGTATTTTCGTCGTACGATGCACAATGCCAGTGACTGTAAATAAGTACTGGCTGCTGCTCAAAGTTTTTCGCATTCAAAACACTTTTGGCATACGATTTTTTTGCATAAAAAGCACACGGATGCATTAGGAAGTAATATGCAGCGCTGCGGTACTACTCGTAAGTCGTACCATCGGGGTTACAGATCCGGTCTTTTATGGGCAGCAGCAATTTATGTTATTCGCATATGCAGATACATAATAGGGCAGGTGAAGTCTCGTCTACGCATGACGCGTGCGCATCCGCCGTCTCCAGCTCTGGTGTCCTTTTCTTTTGCTTCATTCAGCATTCCAGCTAAACATTCTCTTTACTGGGCATAGTGCATGGTACTGTCAAGTGGCGCTGGCTAGGCGCGCACCGACCATCGACGGCGGAACAAAGCAAACCCGGTTGAAGGCTTTAATGCCGAAATCTGACACACACCGCGCTTTGCGCGCGAGCCAAAAAACCAACTGCCAAGATAACGGATCCTGCAGCCAGCACAGCTGTGCTGCAGGCCGTGAGAAAGCATGCAAATGCCCAGACAGGAAAAAACCCAAAACCAACCAATGACAGAAGGGCTGAATCATAAGCCCGCCCTGACATCCCTGTACGGTCTAACACTGAGCTCCTGCGAAGTGCAGGTAAATGGCGTGATGCGCCGTAAAGAACAGTGGATACAGGGACCGGTACGGTCCCTGTACTATGTCTAATAGACTGTACTACCGGGTGGCTCGGTTCCAGTTCGGTCGGCTCACGTGGTCCGGTATGGGATCCAGTTCGGTCAGGTTTGGTCCGGCTCGGTCCCGGTTTGGTCGGCTCGGATCTGGTTCGGTTTAGGAATGGTTCTGGGTCGGTTTGGCTCGGGTTCGGCCACGGGCGGTCCAGTGCTTGGGTCAACGCACTGTCGCGCCAGAATCCAGGGTCGGATGCGGAAATCGGTAGATTCCGCATTTTATCCGTCTGGAAAAAGGTCACGGTCTGGGGAAAATCGCGCAGGGTTTGGGGCACAGGTACGGCCATGACCCTGCAAACACAAAAATACGCTGCTCCGGGTAGGGAAAATCAGCTGCTCCGCCGCGGGAAAGGTTGTCCCAGGTAGGACGGGCAGGGTTTTGTTGGGGGGAAATTTCTCGGCGTGGTGATGGTGGTCGATCCGGCCGTGGGGATCGGGGTTGGCATGGCTGTTGGTGGTGGTGAAGGGTCCGCAGGTCTCCTGCTGGTCCGGGTTGCGTCCACCGTCGGCATCCGTCATCGGTACGGTGTGGCTGTGGGTTTGTCCGTCCATCGCTGCACTTCTGGCTTGGCGACATCTCCATCCCTTTCTGGGAGAGGCAGTTTCCTCCGCGTTCTGCGGGAGTGACGGCACAGCTCCGGCGACTGACGGGAAATCCGGAGGAGCGGGTGAGCTCCGTACCCGGGGGTGGCACAGGGCGCGATCACGCGATCTGGTCCACAACTCAGAGGTGGCCCGTGAGCGGGGCAAGCCCGCTGTGCAACACACGAACGTCTCCGTGATCTGCTACCATGTCAAGTGGCGCTGGCTAGGCGCGCACCGACCATCGACGGCGGAACAAAGCAAACCCGGTTGAAGGCTTTAATGCCGAAATCTGACACACACCGCGCTTTGCGCGCGAGCCAAAAAACCAACTGCCAAGATAACGGATCCTGCAGCCAGCACAGCTGTGCTGCAGGCCGTGAGAAAGCATGCAAATGCCCAGACAGGAAAAAACCCAAAACCAACCAATGACAGAAGGGCTGAATCATAAGCCCGCCCTGACAGTACAATACTGCATCAACGCATTACGCATAGCAGCCATCTGAATGTGTACATAATGTAGTGTAGTGTAATAAGTATCTGTAACATGTAAATCTATCTACTCTGTACATAAAGAAATAAACGGCCTATGAAATAGACGCATAATGGATTTATCTTGGAGAGCGATGTCGCGTTATCGGCCGTTACTGACGGATGTCGATCAGATCAACTACCAGAACACCGTCGTTGTCCGCAATCATGACGGCGCGTGGTGCCTGGGGTACATTCAGGATATGGACGGGGACCAAGCCCTAATTCACTTTGATTCCACCAAAGCCCCAGCGCGGTGGACCCACATGGGAAGCGTGTGGCCGCTGCCATTCTACTGGGAGAATCCGGGAAACCCGGGTTGCTACAACGTTGCAGCGTATGTCGCGTTGCGTGATGAAGACAACGGCCCGTTGCGCTTCCAGCCCGCCACTCTGCTGGGCTGGCTGGGGGGTTGTCATAGCTGTCAGATGTTCTATATCAAATCCACTGCGTCCAGCACCAACGACCAGACAATCCCCGACCCTGCTGAGCTCGTGCAGCTCGGCCAAGTGACCGACCAATTGCGGGAAACACCTTCCCCTAAGTACTACGAAATACTAAAAATAATAACAGCCAGTTTGCCTAAATAATAATAGACAGTTTGTATTTGTTAGGGCTGGAAGAGAGTGTTAAACTTTAAATTGAGGTCCCGAGACACTCACAAGAACGGGTGTGGTCATGTAGGCCATCGCAACGGGCGCACCGTTCACGAATTGGCGCTTTCCTTAATTTTTATTCAGCAATAGACAGTTTCCGTACGAATGCAAATCCGCCTTCGCCGGATTTAAACTAGTAATCAATGTTTTAACGATCAGAAAACACCCATAATCGTTAGCGTCGTTTGCAGTCTCAGGTCGTCCATTCAGAGTTTTCAGACTCAGTACTAAAACACCCGCTGCATTTCCTTTGGCTACCGGCTAGACTCACCCGCTGTCTCAAATAGGCCGCAGAACGAGACTGGCGCTTTCCTTTAGTCGGCAGTGCGTTTCCGGTTCCGCAGTGTTTGTGCTTGCACGCGATGTGATTCTGTCTGCGCTTTTGAACTTCCGGTAGTAGTCTGTCGTTTTGACTGATTGGCCGACGAACGAAACGGCAGCGGCCGGCTAAACGCCTGACGGCCGGCTGAAGCCCTTAGCCGGCTCACTCTACGCGGCTGGAAGTCTCAACTGGCTAGAGCGGCTGCTAAATTTTTCCAGCCAGCAGTACACCGGTCAGCTAAACCGCTTTTATGCGAACGTTGCAGAAAAATTACCATTTTGCAAATAACGTTGGTGAATGGTAGAATAGGTCATCTTCGCATTAGGGGGATAAAAAACCGAAAAATGTCAGTTGTTACGTAGACCTTGTAAAAAACGATTTTCCAAAGACGTTTGATGCAGAAAATGAGCAGTTTTTTGGGAATTCCTGCCAGAATTATGTAAGCGCGAATAAAGCTGCAGCCGGCCTCAGCTCGGCCGTTACCAGATCTACACTGTAGAGTCTATAGCGTGGTGTGATGTCCTTTGGTTCCTAATCGTCAGAAAGGAGCCTGGAACGGTCAGCAGGCACTTACCTTACACTTTACAGGTGTTACTAGTTGGAATGGCTTTCTAAGTTCCCTGAGCTTTAACACTGCAGCTGGCTGGAGTTTTAGAGCTAGACGTGTTGTAAAATGTAAATGATTTCCAGAAGTGGTAGCCCAGCAATTTACAAGTTTGCAGCCGCGCCTCAACAACGTTCCAGTGGTGTAAAGTACGGCATATCGGAACCAGAAGTTGAGAAGTAACGGTTAAGAGGCGGTCTCAAAATTTGAATTTCGAAGCAAATTAGATTCGATACAGAAACCCACCTCTCTAGGAGTCGAGGAGGCTTGGAGAGCCGTGGCGGCGGCCACTGCAGAATAACCCAGAAGGCAACGAATCAGACAATACAGCCCCACTATGCAGTTCACGCGAAGCGACGTTTTAATCAACGTGTTTCAATTCTGCCCCCGCGTCTTGCTGTAAACACTAAGGGTGGGTCTCATATTCAAAGCGAATCTAGTTGCG